ATATAAATTTCTAATTGAGGCACAGATAACCAAACCCCACATGGACAACATCAGAGGGAAAAATACAAATATTCTAATCATATTTTAGCGCCTATAAGAATGAAGATACAAACTACAAAAAACAGAGATATTATTATTTTTGATGTCATGCAAGAGTGGTAAATTCTACAAAAACAGAAAACCAATACTATATAATAATGTTGTAATATTGATGTTAGGTTATGATATTGTTCTGTTATCATTGTAAGACCAGGGTTAGTATATGAGTATAAGAGAATAAAACAATCAACAACAATTTGATAATGAGTGTGTAAAGTAGAAAAAGAGGATAAATGCATGTTATTATTTAATACATGCATGACTCACCAACACCTGACATTATTTGCTTTTTTGAAGGGGAAGGTACAACATCTCAAATTAAATAGTTGTGCTGCAGCTTCATCAGTGGTTTTCTTCTTCATAAATAGCTACTGTTCTTTATATAGAGGTTAGGTACATTAGTGTACATTGAGCACTAGAAGCTGTCTTAAACACACTTACCTATAATGTATAATGTATAATGCTAATAATAATAATCAAATTTACCATAATTGAATGTGTAATAGAAATATCGTAACCAATCATTTTTTTAGAGCCAAGATGAATGCAGACAAAATACACAAGCTCATTTGATTCTTTTGATGTTTTGCTAAGTAAAAAAAAAAAGTTTTGGGTTTCTGTAAGTGCTCATGCTAATTATACATACAGTATGTGTTGAAATAAAATGTTATGTCATTGTCGGACCAGGATTAGTATAAAACAAGACAATAGAATAATAACATCCGCAACAATTTCACGAGCAGTACAGCAGAATAAGTTGGCCGAGTTATAAACGCATGCATAAATTATTTATTTTATAGAAGCAAATTTGTATTCTTTTCTGTTGTACTCAGACGGTATTGAAGTAAATACATTTTCAGAATTCTGAGCCTGCCCTGTGCAGTAATTAAACACTCTTCCTAATTAATTACACCAAATGTGCTTAGCTCATGAGACTATATGAAAAAAAATGTATGTATGTGATTGAATTTTCCTTTCTGTTGATGTTTGATTGGGTCAAACATCTACAAGTAGCAGTAACAAATCAGACGGTTTAATCTTCATGTTATACTGTTATTCATACGTTCTTCTGTTATATCCATTGGTGTATATATATGATAACAAATATACATATAATCAGTGCTTCACTTAACCATGCACTCAAAGTAATACAAGATACTTCATATTGATTATGTTTTTACATCAAAAGCAGTAGCCTGCCAACCTTTGCAAATCATTTGGAGCAATATAACTTCAAAACATAGCTCAGTTTACCTCTACAAGGCATCATAACAGTATACTACTTATAGCAAGATTAATAGGCGTACAGTTAAGGGTAACATTATGCTATATGCAGGGTTCAAAAGCACAATGATCCAGAAAAGTTTACAATTCATCCACAGACCATCGCCCAAGCATTCCGAGCGCAGAGTAACGTCACAACTATACCTATAAACGTGGATTGCTTGCTGAAATCTTAGCATAAACAGACTTAACTACAACAGAGGAAGATAAACATGTGTAGCAAGTAGTCACCAAATGTTTGCCTCAATCACTGAAGCTGACACCAGTAATAAGGACTATTTAGGCAAAAAGATAGAGGTGTCTGAGTCAGGACAATATGGCAGCCGAAAGTGTCCGACTCAGGGTGCACTCCCGTTAATACTGCTCACCAACTATGGTTGTCCATGTGTGACATTATTCATCACAATATTTCCTTTTAGAGAAGGGAAAGTTGTGCTGCCGCTTCTGTGATGTATCAGTGTTTTTCTGCAGCATGATCTTATACACACTTACCTTTTCTGGACTTTACACACAGTGGACTGCAGTCACCATTCCTCAAAAAGATCCACCAGAGTGTAGGCTCCAACTTCAATTCAGTCCCTGTCTTCATAGCCTACTGCACAAAATATGACTTAAGCGATAGTATCATATTTTTAACAATAATGCATGGTCTAACTTAACACAAACTACATACACACATAAGGTACATAAGGTTCTCCCAGTTGACATACCAGTCCAAACATGATATTTTGTTCAGCATACATAATTGTGTCAAACTTTACAGTAGGTTTAAGTCCATACTTTCATACTTCCATAGCATTAGCACTCACATTAGCATAATTAGCTGGAACGCTCTGACGTGGGAACTGGTCTTTAGGAAATATCCCGCTTCCCAGTTGTCTGGACGCACAGGCCTTTTATCTAGATAAGAGAATCAACAGACTATTGGTCAACATACATTTGAAACAGATGTAATGAAACTACTGAACAAAAGGTGGCGCCTTTTACTCACGGCTCGAGCTGGCAGGGCGTCTCCTGCAGCCAGCACGGAATATGGTGGAGTGGCTCTGGGCGCGGGATAAACACATTTGGACATCATTGTATTTTATTAATGGATAATAACACACTGTTTTATTGTTAGTGACCTTATTTTTGCAAAACATTAGTAGGCCTAACCCTTTCTCTATCGTTTCTAATAACGTGTTAGCTCTGCATAGTTTATTACGCCCAATTATTTGCTTGTCACATTGAAAAAGCCAATAAGGAGTACACTTTTGTAGTTGGGATTAAATGAATAAATGACGGATTAGAGAACATATAAAACGAGATTCCTAACAAGAGAATTATTTATCTAAGCTGTAAACTGTGCTGCTCACAATATTAAAAAAACACACACAAACACGTTTTTTGTATTTTTTATTTATTTATAATTTCATTTTTACCCAACACATTTCCATCATTTCCCAATAAGGTCAAACAAAAATGAAATAATAAAAAGGAATTGGAAATTCACTATTTCACTGTCACAGCTGATGTGAGGATGTAGCTACAAAAAGAAGGCAGAGAAACAGACAGAGCGATGCTGATCCCTGCAGAGACTCCACCACAGTTCACCATCAAACAGTAGGGAAATGACAGAGTGAAAAGTCACAAAACACAGGCATACAATACATATACATTTTTACATTGGATTCTGTATCCTATATTTCATCAGTGACAATTAAGGAAGTGATAGCTAATCATACATATGTCAGTTAGAATATTTGAATGTTAGTTGTCTTGTTCATGTTAGTGTTTTTTCTTTTTCTTTTAACTTGTTCAAAAGTGTTTCATTTGTAAAATAAGCCCTGCATTGATTGGTTTCACACTAAAGCATCTACAAATATTGTATTAGGTTTAGTGGGTGCCAAAAGTCATCAGTGATCAAAGAAGAAGAAAAAATATATTTGGACAAGGAGAATATACTCCAAATATTCCAAGCTATTTATGAAAAACATGAAAATACAAAATAATAAATCATAGCTTTCTATTTATATATATATCTATATGTGTTTCCTGGAGCGCATGCAGCACAAAACAGAGTGGCGTCATGTTTGAGTCAACACATGTTGAACTTGTGGAAAGAAGCGATTAACAGGCAGAAGGGGACACAGGCAACTCAAATGTAGAATTCAAATTAAATTGGTGGATCACAAATTTGGGTAATCATTCATGTTTTAACAAGTATTGCATATTTTAATGGAGACGCATGTTAAATCCCTTTCAAACGCCTATGTATTTTGGCTTCAACTCACAACAGAATATAAAATGTCCTCAGTAAACAAACAACTGACCAGAGTTCCAGAGCTTTCCTCTAAGAATCAACAGTGCTGTCACTGAACAGTTAAAGCTTTCAGAAAATAACAATATGAACAAAACCATTATAGGAATGTGTATTGTGACACATAGCATATTTCTTGGTTCAGGGTCCAAGCGTCCAAAAAACTTTGACTTTTTTTAGTGATACCAAACCAATGCACAATAAACACAACATGAGCTCATGAAAACATTTGTGTTGTGTTTTATTTTAGCTAAATAAAACACAACAAAAACGTTTTCATGCATGTCTGTGGGAAACAATTATAAAATGATTAACATGTGTTGCCCAGCTTTAAAATGGTCACATCTAAACTTCTCGAACACCAGTATAGAGGTGTTTCTGTTATGCTGTTCATGAACGAATAAGGTGTAAAACAGCTGCCCTCGACCCTGGTAAGAGAAAAATGCTCTGTGGCATCCTCAGTTAACATTCCCATACCGTTATTGGAAGCATAGGCCGGATGGGCTCATGCTTGTTGTATTTTGTGACATGTTGATCACAAGTGTGCTGTAAACGCAAGATAAGTTAAGAACTGGTTGGTATACCAAACATTCAAAGCAGAAAGCACATGTCTTTGCTGCGGAAGGAAGGGAATAGATTATGTGTGTTGGCATGTATGTAGGAGTAATCTGTTGAACCATGTTCTTTTATATATGGTGCATTTCCTTCTCCAGAATACAAGCCACTTCCTCTCTGTAATTGCTGAAATTGTGATGTTTTGCGTTTCAGTGGCAGGCATGCATGTGTATACATGTGTTTCATTAAAAATACAGGAAACACGATAATAACCAAGCCTGCAGTTATGTCTTGTCCAGTGTCCATTTCTGTACTATTTACAAAATGTGTCCCGCTGCAACCAGTGAAAATGTATCTGTCCTTTCCATAGGCTGGCACACAGTCATTCAGGTACAAAGGATTCTCTTTTCAGTGAGAGTCAGAGTTGGAGAGAGATGGGGAGAGTATAATACAGAGGTGCCAACATGCCCAATGGGTTAATGCAACAGACTATAGGTAGAGACGTTCATCTCTATGAAAGGTATAGGCACATAAGGGCATGGAGAAAATGTGTAATTACATTGTGTCAAGGCAAGATTCGTGGGTACCCAAACACTAAAAGGTACAGTGAATCTTGGTAAGGCCAAGTCATCAGGGTGTGCAAGATATTTGTGACGGAATGAAACTGCAATTTTAATTTCACATTTTCTTTATAGCCCATGGACTTTGGTACCTCTGTTTTAACAACACCCTGTTTGTCTGTCTGCCATTCAAAGTTCAACTTTCACTCATCCCCGTCATCTCTCCCCTTATCCTTTTTATCCTTCTTCTCCTTCTTCTTCTTCTTCTTTTTCTTTGCTTCATCTTTCTTCCCAAAACTCATGAAATCCCCCTTCTCATCATCTCCTTGGTTCTGTCTGATAGATATTATGGCCGGCGAGCCAGGGATGATGAAGGCCTCTGGGGGAACATCGCCTGGTTTCAGTTGTGGTGCACCGGGTCCACCTGGCCCATAGCGGAAGTGCCAGCTGTTGCTGTCTATGCCTGCTCCCATTGGTGGAGACACCTCTCCTCCATCAGCATCTGCAAAACAATGGTCTTTGTTGATTTGAAAGACAAATATAAATATCTGCGAATATAATACAAAACAAATGCACAAATAGTAACAGAACATGTTACATACCATGTCTACATCATTGCTTTCTGGACTTATTTCTGTGTATCTCTCTTGAAAATGTAGTTTTTTAAAGCAACATGTAATACTAATACAATACTGTGTACTTTGGCGCTGACAAACGTGTGAAATGATATATCCTCACTGCTGTGCATCACAATATAAAAGAGCTGTCCCCATCACATACTGTAGTTCATCATATCCAGTTGGGAGTGTTATGTCTGAATATAGACCAGGAAGCAGGGTAACAGTGTGCTGCACTGTATTTTAAAGCACATCTTATTGTACATTTGAGGCCACAGTGATCTTAAACATACCTAAAAACAAGACCATCTTCTCACTAACCTCATTATCATGCAGTGCTCTTACAATTCTTTGTCACATAATGTTGCCCCCCTCCCTTTCACTCTCTCTGTCGCCCCTCCCTGTTTTCTCTGCTGTCTGGTCTGTGGTTGCTATGGAAACTACATCCTTTGGTGAAGCAGCAGGCGACCAATAATCGGAAAATAGAATGGGGTTCTTTTTGGTACTGCCTTTCCTCATGTAAACCAATTTTAAATTGTTGGTCATAAAAAACACATTTTCTGTATTATATGATAGCACTAGGTTCAGTAAATTAAGAGAGAAAAGATTCAAGCATCTATATGGGCACATCTGACATGCATGGTTTTACCTCTAAAAGCATCAGGTTATAGGTCACCATTTGTAATTAAATGCATAAGGTAAAAGGGATTGTGTAGCTGTAATTTCATTATGCCTGTGTGTGTGCTAATCTGGGTGTGGTCTGTGCTCCATCTGTCACAGCAGCGGCACACAAAGCTGCCAGCTATACCACGCCCCACATAAGCAGAGAAGTACTGAGGTCACTGCTTTCTATGAAGGCATTATCTTTACATAGAACGAAGACTTGGATGCTCTACACATCACAGTATATTAATCATTGTGGGTTTTTTTTTTACAAAAAATTATATTTATGCGTTGTGTGAAATTCTATATATAAGATGACTTCACTTATATGTCTGAGAATTCATTGGAGGAGCAGTGTTGTGTTAGCTGTATAAATAGGCCGTAGCTGATGTTGCGATGGAAGAAGAAAAAAAAAACTGTTTTATGTGATGTGATGTTTAGTTACTTTCAGATGGACAATATGGCAAATAATAGACACAATTTTGTAGATTAAAACATAAGGGTTAAAGTTAATTTAAATCATAATAGGTAAGATAAGATTAGATAAACTATTTATCTCACAATATAAAAATGTATATGTCACATTTGGCATAGATAGAATCACTTAGCTTGTGCAAAAAAGTGTGCAAACATATTAAAAACGTTCAAAAATAGTCTCTTTTGTGCAAGATATATTATGTACGATAAAAAATAGAAACAGAACATACTCTACATAAATAATCGGGCCTAATGCATTGATTCTTTCTGGGGATCTGACAGCAAAACAATTAGTCCCTCAGAATTATTGGTTCGTCATTGTTTTGATATTTGATATTTTTTGTTCACACAATATATGTTCTAGTGTCTTTCCATACCTGGTACGCTGGATACAGTGGGCCAGTTTTGAACAAGGACCCCCTGGGCTCCCTGCAGGACGGATGACTCTTCCATAAGCACTGAGCTGAAACACAGACGAATAAAATCATGTTATAATCAGCTCACTTCTTGCTCTGCTGTTTTGTAAACTTGTAGAAACTGAAATACAGTTGATTGTGTACAGTTGAATTCTCCACAAAAATGTGGAGAATTTAGTTCATACAATGTTCGTTCAGAGCACTTTACAAAAACTGTTTATAATTATATGCATAACAATACATTTACAAAACATGGCATGCAGATCTCATAATTATGTCTTCCCAGCTCCCTCCTCGGCAATGTTGTAGTTTAAAGTTTCATACAACAACAACATCAATCAAGCACTGTTCTTCCTCAATGCGAAAAGGCTGTGTTGTGGCTTTCGGTGATAAGATTTAGATTTAGCTCTGCACTTTGGCATTTATTTTATTTTTGACATAATGTATTGCTTACTGCATCCTCCACTGTCCTGGTGGTGGCGTCTGGCTTTTTGTGAAGTGCTCCAATGCCACTGTTATTGAAATGTTTCTCAGTTTGTATATTTCTCAAGTATGGATGATTTTAGTGCTTATATTCTCCACAGATATAACTCGTAAATTATTTCCAATGTAAATGGAAAGTATAATGACAAACTTTATACATGTCCAGACAAAAAAAGCAAATCCACCACCAGGAAAGTCGAGGAATGCACATTTAAATAAACTACCTCAGCTCCATAAGTGTTTCAGAAATGTTTTTATACAGTATTTACGTATAAGGAGCTGGGTGGGGGGTTTGGGCGGCCTATCAGCAATCACCTTAAAGAATGTAGGCAAAAGATAACACATTTTCTCTTAAGATCAAGACAGCAATAGGTCTATGTCTAATTTGTTCACAGTATTTTACTTTTTTGAAGAGAATATTTTTCAAACATGTGACAAGTGAAAACAACATTTGAAATAGACTCATAACATGCAAAGTGACATGATTATGGCATACAGTCCATTCTCAAAATATTTTGTCAGGGGTTGTGAGGCTGTGAGCCTATTATTAACATTATAACAAATAAAGGCTTGATAAATGCAATATAATAATTCTGTCATTTATTATATGATATCTATATTGTAAGGTGAATTACTGAAGTGAAGTTTGATTTTGAAAAGATAGTATTACTTCTGAAACATAACTGCAGTGCCAAACAAATGCAACATATAAAAGTGTCTGAAAGTTGGCTTTACCTCTGCATCATTCCTCCAGCTCTCAGGGAAGCTGAGTATCTCCAGTCCGAATTTGGGACTTTAGGCTGAAAGACATAAAAAGTAGAAAAAGTATGTAAGTCTCTGTTATCAGTGCAAAACCTTGAACCTGTTAATTCAGAAACGTAATTACACAGTGCTTCATTTTGATTTATCATTGAATAAAGCGTCTTGCACTTCCCCTCAGCCGCTTCGTCCAGCAAATCTACTTAGGACCATGTGTGCATAAAAATCAAGAAGAATTAACATTGTATTGCTTGTTGTAAGAGTGGTCTTATAAAATATTATTACTGGATTTGTAAGTCCAGTGAGAATTAACCTCATAATCGGGTAGTTTTTCGGTGTCTATTTATTCACAAATAAACATTGGGTATATTTATCAATGTTTTGATCACCCCTTAATATTGCAAATATAAGAATATTCTTCAATCGCCAGCGCTTGAATATAAGTATTATTATTTTTTTAAAGTAGACATCAGGTCAAACCATCCATATGATTTAGAAAGATAATTGTGTGTTCTTGACCTTTTCTTTCTAATAAAACTCCTGCAAAATATCCATGTATGGCTACCTCTAGATATGTTGAAATCAAGGAGCAAATCACAAATGATCCATATATACACACGCACATGCATTTGGATTATAATATATGCTTTTTTGCTTACAAATCACCTTATATGGGCAGACTCATTAAACTCCAAACAGCAGAGCTACTTTGAATATGGGCATGAACTGAATGAAGAGAGTTACTTTCAAAATCCTTGCATCTACACACATTCCTACAGCCTGTAAAATGGGAGGTACTTTAGATAATTACTTTTTGTGATTATAGAAAAAAGAAACTTTGTGTATTTGCTCCTCTGCTTTGCCTAGATTAAATAAAATAAGCATAGTAATTTCACATATAAAAATGTCACAAATAGAAATAATAATAATACTTTTCAAAATGAGGAGGACAAAACCATACAATGACCCACATAACATGTGACAAATAGGTCAAGCTACAAAATTCATCCCTCTGCTGGAATACGTCAGAAGTCCAGCTGGTCACGTGATCACACCACCGCCCATCTGCAGCTAAATCCCTCACAGAACAGAGACAGCAAAAGAAATGCCGACTGAGCAAGCATGACATTGTACTATTAGGGGGATAAGCCTATGCCTGTCACAATAAGAACATCTTCTATTAAATGCATTATGCAAACATGACACATTTCGACAATATATAAAAACATAGTCCTTGAAAATTACTCAATAAAACATCTTTCCTGTTGCACCCTGGAATATATAACTGTTTCAAATCCAGCCAAATCCGTCCCCAAGACCATCTCCCATGGTTCCAGACTTCTTTGCAACATCCTTCAGAGACCATACATAATAGATTAAGCTACATGCATTCTGTTGACAATGCTATCAGAAAATGCAGGCCGGTTTGTTGTCCATGACTTTAAGGATGCAGAGGATTTGAATACTTGCTGGGAGCAGGAAATGTGCCCTGTTTTCAAGCATGACAAAGCTATAATCAAGCCCCTGGAAAAACAAACTTCCCAGGAGATCAAGGATGAAAGCGGGTAAAGGGCATTGTCAGCAGTTGATGTTCTTCTCATGTGTGACCATCTCTTCTACACAGACTTTGGATAGCAACAAACTATTGTTCGAGTTTTCTCCCAGTGCAAACACGCTTACCAACTATACTGGGTAATAATAGCAGCATTATAGGTTGAGCCATTATAGAGGTCACTGTGAATGTGTGTGTGTGTGTCATCAGACAGCTCAGAAATTGGTTTCTCCTCATCACAGTTGCCACGGTAATCACTGATGCCACACAAAATACACACACATTCATGTCAGTCTCACTACTGACACAAGCTGCAGCGTGGGTTTGCTGCAGAGATGAAGGAAACAGACACGGTAGCCCACAAAGCACCGTGCTGCTGCTGCTGCCACTGCAGACTAGCGGAAAATTACCTACCCCTCCCCCCACACCGTCACATTTGCAGTGAGCTGAAGCAATATACAGACAACTTAAACATCCCACAGTGTTTGGCTTTGGTTTAAACCGGGAGCAGGTCATGAGAGGTACGGGGATGAAAAGTAGCAGCCTCTGTCACTGTAACACGCAAGGCATATGTACCTAGTGTGGCTATCTTTAAATCCCATGCTGACCTAGATAGACAAGTAAGCTACATCCAAGCATTCCCCTGCAGTGGCCAGAAAGCAAAAAGTCAAAAGGATTTACTGCTGGTACATGGGAAAGTAGAAGTACACAAATCAAGCTTGGTCTACTTTTGGCTGCAGCCAGAACATTTTAATCCAGTGTCAACTTTCTTATCCCTATCTATAACATAATTCATCCATTTATCTGTCATCTATTACATAGCTAATTCAATCAACATAATTACTAACGAAGCCTAAACCTTTCATTAAAAAACATTTCTCAGATAACTACTGATCCAATTATCCAACTAATCATTCATCCAGATTATGTTTAACTAAATGTAGGTGAACAGATGTTGTGCAAAAATAATAAAAAATGAAGTCATGTAAATAACACGCTGAGGCCTTGAGGACATGTCTGTAGGAAATGAACCTAAATCAATTCTATCAGCTGCTCTCTGCCATCAGGAAAACTGCAAAAGAGGGGGAGGGGAGGCCAAAATACACACCCCATGAAGGGCAAGGGAAAAGGAAAGATAGCTTCTGACTGATATTCATACACTTAAGCGCACGATGAACAATAGCCTTCCCATAACATGGAAGTGAACAGGTCATGCCGACTTCAGCTTCCAATCTACGTGGTATAGGTGCAATCGCCGCTGCCTTGTCTTCATTTCTCGACAACATTTTTCGATATGACGTGATATGACATAAGATTGTCCTGTACAACGCATGCCCTCTTTTCCTCTGTGGGAAGAAAGCTCTGAATCAACTCTGTAAAACAAAAATCTAAGAACTGAAACTGCAATAAAAGGCCCCCACGGCATGTGTGCTTCTGAACTTGACTAACTCTGTATCTTTTTTTTTTGACAGCATCATTACTTATCGTAAGGAAGTACCTTATATGAAAAAAGGGCTGTCCTTGTTACAAAAACATATATTGTACCGAACATTCATGCATGCTTTGCTCAAACTGAATCTCCCCAACTTCAGGCAACCCCTGCACCCTACTCATGCTCTCATACCACAACACCGTCTTGGCCCGTCCAATCAGAAAGTTTCCTCCTGCTAGTACCAGAGTACCTCACCCCATCAACACATATGCATTCAAGTCTGTCGACAGCCTCCTGGACATATTCCTTGGCAGATCAAACATCTGGTTCAGCCCTTCAGAAAGATGAAGGATGATAGAGTAACTATCAGGATTAAGTGGTAATGTGATGACAATAAACAAAACTTTTAATTTCACGTCCCTGTTGCATGTGCACAGTCAAATACAATAAATCCAAAAGTAACACCCCATTTTAGCAAATGAAAACCAGATTCAATGCAGGTAATGAGGCACTTCAGAACCATGGACAGCAGACATGAAACTTTGTTCCATGTCTGCTGTGTTTAAAAAGTCTGTCAGAAACGAATAAATATTATACATTTTCTTATGCAATTATAGTATACCTTGTCTGTATTAGGTAACGTCTGCGTCCTGGAGAACGTGTCTCCTCCGTTAATACTGATGAGTTCTCCATCTACAGGAGGAAACGCTGCGGGGAAAACCACTACGTCGCTCTTGAGCGTGTCTGAGCTGAAGCACACGTCATACTGCTGAGTGGATTTGGAGTAGGACCAGCTCCCGTCAGGGTGGGTGGTGATCATGGGGGCGCTGTACCTGCTGAAAGAGCTCTCTGTCCTGTGACATCTGACTGCTATTAACGGGATGAGGCTGAGCAGAAAGATGACTGACACCGCCACAATGGCGATGAGCAGGTACAGGTTTAAATCCGAGAAGCTGTCCTCCTTTATGGGCACATGTCTGAACTGAGTCTGAATGTCCGCTGTGCTCTCCACCACCACTACATCAATAGACACAGTGGCGGACAGGGAGGGCTCTCCGCTGTCACACACCAGCACCACCAAGGGGTGACTTTTCAGGTCATTGTCACTCATCCTCCTCTTGGTGCGGATCTCTCCGGTGCTGGTCCCGATGCGGAACAGGTTGTTCCCTTTGGGCTCAGACAGGTGATAAGAAAGCAGCGCGTTGTAGCCAGAGTCTGCGTCTACAGCCCTGATCTTTGCCACAAAGTAGCCCGCTTCAGCGGAGTAGGGGATGCTCTCACTGTTAACGGAGCCATGCTCAGAATAAGGCGCCAGGATTGTGGGACTATTGTCATTTTCATCCAGAACAAACACGTTCACAGTCACGTTACTGCTGAGCGGAGGGACACCAGAGTCTGTGGCCTGCACCTTAAACTGGAACGTTTTGAGCTCCTCAAAATTAAACGTCTGCAGCGTCACTATTTCTCCTGTCTCTGGATTGATATTAATAAATCCCTGTGCAACATTTTTCTTATTTCTATCCTTTAACACTGAAAATGTTATTCTGGCATTTTCATCCATATCTGGATCATCTGCTGTGACTCTATGCAGAATGGCACCCACAGGACTATTTTCTTTCACAAAAATATTGAAAACAGGCTCTTTAAAACTGGGTGAATTATCATTAATATCAGAAATACCAACAGTAACCAAAATACTGCTTGACAGAGATGGGGTCCCATGGTCTGTAGCTGTTATTGTTACATTATATAAAGACACAACTTCCCTGTCCAAAAAGCCTGCTAAAAGTAAAGAATAATGGTTTTTATAAGTGTTCTTGATCACAAACGGAGTGTTTTCAACAATTTCTACCGTAACAATGCCATTTTTATCTGAGTCTGTGTCTTTGACTGTAATAAGTCCAACCACCGTTTCAAGAGGTGCGTTTTCTTTTACCACACTGACAACAGACGTCACTGATATATCAGGTCTATTATCATTAATATCCGTGATTTCAACCAGCACTTTGCAGCGTGATGCTCTAGGACTGGAACCTTTATCTTTTGCCAAGACTCTAATTTCAACTGCTTTCTTTCTCTCGTGATCTAATCCCCCATTTACAGATATCTCCCCCGTTGTGGTCCCAATTGTAAACATGCTCACTTCGTTATCACTGTCGTGAATAATGAAGGAATATTCTATCTCCCCATTAGAACCCTCGTCAAGATCACGGGCATGAACTGAAATGACGCTCGTCCCTTTTAGAGTATTTTCTGGTATTGTGGCTTTGTAAAGCGGTTTATCAAAAATAGGAACGTTATCGTTAACATCTTGCACATTGATGGTGATCCCTAATGTACTTGTTTTTTCTGGTTTCCCTCCATCAAAAGCAGTCAGCGTAAGCTTAATTACTGCCTGTTTTTCGCGGTCTACAGGTTTCTGCAGCACCAGTTCAGCCGATACTGTCTCCTCGCCTTCATCCTGCACGTCCAGAGAGAAATGTACATTCTGACTGAGCCTGTAGCCTTTAATAGAGTAACCGCCAACATCCGCATCAGTGGCTTTGGCAAGTGAAAACCTCTCACCGACTACAGCTGATTCTGACACATTCAAAACTATCCCTGGGATCCGAAAGACCGGGGCATTGTCATTAATGTCCACAATTTTAATCACGAATCGGTAGTGACTGAGAGGCGATCGGACAATAGCCTCCACTTCCAGCGCACACGTGACAGATTTAACACAGAGCTCCTCACGGTCAATTCTATCCTTCACAAAAAGGATTCCCGTTTTTGTGTTGATTTCAAAATACTTGGCAAATCGTTCAGAAATATCAAATTCGTGAGACTGCAATTCGTGAATATTAAGATGAAAATCCTTCGCCAAATTGCCCACAGTGGTACCCGGGTCTGCCTCCTCCGTGATGGAATAAACAGCCAGTTCTGCTGTGACTGCGTATATTTGCAAGACGTGAATAAAACATGGTATCCAAGAACGAAAAAATGTATCCTTAATCATCCCTGCGCCAGCGCACGTCCTTTAAAACGAGAACAAATAAAAGTACAGATTATGAGGAACAATCCTCACCGACTACACCGACAGACAAACCTAACACTTCGCCTAAATGCTTCGCTGCGTTAGAGTGACGTAAACGGGGCGTGTTAAAATCCGAACAAAATATTATGACTCTTCTATGGCTGCTCTGCGACATCCTGTGGTAAAAGAAAAATAGAACACGCTAAAGAAGAAAACCGAAAAAAAATAAAATAATAATTGTGTAGTATACAACGACAGATCATTTCTAACAATTAAAAAAGCCCAAAACATACATTAGAGAACATTTGACACGCATGTGTTGCATAAATCTCCATGAAACGCTTGGAAAAGGTACATACTGCATTCCAACTCGTTTTAAGATCTTGTGGGGAACAAAAATCTAGCTGGGACCTTATAGTAATGGCCTTTTATGACTCATTTATCCCCATTTTAAGTGGTCAAAACTGTATGCACATTGTAGGGCATAACAATAAAATGTCAATGTTCTTTATATGAATATACTGGGGAGAAAAAAAAAAACACATTTATCAGAAGAAGCAATTTTATCAAGATATGGTGAACTGAAGCCTAATTGATGAATACACTCGTCATTGTTTATTCATATTTGTGAGCTTTAAGTTCAAACTATTTCCCTTTAATGTACAATGTTTGAGTATACACTAATTTATAGGGAAACATCCTTATTTTGTCCATTTCATCAAGTGGCTGGCAAAAGCTATAGATAATGCAATACAATGCAGAGTGCATTGGTCGTAAAAAGTGTAATAGGTAACAATAGGCAGTGCGTAACTCTCAAAATGTTTAGTAGTAAGTAAGTGAGTAATGTTTATATATATAGCACATTTTTACAGACCAAGGTCATGCTTTACAAAGTTCACGGTTCCAATATTTTTCCATTCTCTCCACAAACGGTGATGACGGAAGCGAGATGCTAAACACGCTGGCGCAATCAAAGCCCCAATCAACACCATCCATTCACTCATTACATTCATACATATTGTACATGTTTTTGTGGTAGGGGAAACCAGAGCACCCGGATGAAACCTACACAGATACGGGGGAACATGCAAACTCCACACAGAAAGGCCTGCAGGTGGGATCAAATCCAGGACCTTCTTGCTGTGAAACACAAACTCTTACCGCTGGTGGCGCAGCGGTTAGAGCTTTGTGTTTCACAAGTTTTTTTGTGTTTAGCTGTCAATTCATACCTTGTCTGTAGTGGGTAACGTCTGCGTCCTGGAGAACGTGTCTCCTCCGTTAATACTGATGAGTTCTCCATCTACAGGAGGAAACGTTGCGGGGAAAACCACTACGTCGCTCTTGAGCGTGTCTGAGCTGAAGCACACGTCATACTGCTGAGTGGATTTGGAGTAGGACCAGCTCCCGTCAGGGTGGGTGGTGATCATGGGGGCGCTGTACCTGCTGAAAGAGCTCTCTGTCCTGTGACATCTGACTGCTATTAACGTGATGAGGCTGAGCAGAAAGATGACTGACACCGCCACAATGGCGATGAGCAGGTACAGGTTTAAATCCGAGAAGCTGTCCTCCTTTATGGGCACATGTCTGAACTGAGTCTGAATGTCCGCTGTGCTCTCCACCACCACTACATCAATAGACACAGTGGCGGACAGGGAGGGCTCTCCGCTGTCACACACCAGCACCACCAAGGGGTGACTTTTCAGGTCATTGTCACTCATCCTCCTCTTGATGCGGATCTCTCCGGTGCTGGTCCCGATGCGGAACAAGTTGTTCCCTTTGGGCTCAGACAGGTGATAAGAAAGCAGCGCGTTATAGCCAGAGTCTGCGTCTACAGCCCTGATCTTTGCCACAAAGTAGCCTGCTTCAGCGGAGTAGGGGATGCTCTCACTGTTAACGGAGCCGTGCTCAGAATAAGGCGCCAGGATTGTGGGACTATTGTCATTTTCATCCAGAACAAACACGTTCACAGTCACGTTACTGCTGAGCGGAGGGACACCAGAGTCTGTGGCCTGCACCTTAAACTGGAACGTTTTGATCTCCTCAAAGTTAAACGTCTGCAGCGTCACTATTTCTCCTGTCTCTGAGTTAATATTCACATTTGCCACATGAAGATTTTTTAATAATGAATATGTCACTTTTGCATTCTCATCTTTATCCAGGTCTGAAGCACTAAGAGTGAAGATAGTTGATCCTATTGCAGCGTTCTCTTTGACATAAACTCCAAGGACTGCATTTAAAAACTGAGGGGCATTGTCATTCACATCTGAAATAGTTACTGATATAAGGCAGCTACTAGACAGAGGGGGTGTTCCTTCATCAGTAGCAACAATCGTGACATTATGATGAGATTGTGTTTCTCTGTCCAGTTGATCATTAACTAGTAAAGAATAATAACTCTTATAATTTAGTTTGAGTTTAAAGGGCACTGAACCTAGAATTGAAGCGACAGTGAGCCCATTTTTACCCCCATCTTTGTCTGAAACAGTGACCAGGGCTACTACTGTGCCAGCCTCCGCATCCTCTCTCACTGGGTTCAAAAGAGAAGTCACTGTGATCTCGGGCACATTATCATTAACATCAATCACTTCTATCAACACTTTACCATGCAGACTTTTAGGCGGTGAGCCTTTATCTCGGGCCTGTATGCGGATATCGAACGCAGGGCTCTTTTCATAGTCAATGTTTCCCTCGACTGTGATTAGACCAGTTTCAGGGTGAATTGAGAATAAAGATGAGGGGTTGAAATCGCCTCTTTGTATAAATGAATATGTCAGTTCACTGTTCACACCTTCATCTAAATCCATGGCAGTCACCGTCAGTAAAGATGCGTGTAATTGTGAATTTTCAACTATCTGTGCCTTATACAGAGGCTGGCTGAATATGGGGACGTTATCATTAGTGTCTATGACATTCACCACAATGTCTACTGAACCCGACAAAGGAGGTTTCCCACCATCAAATGCAGTCAAAGTAAGACGAATGGTAGCTACTTTCTCCCTGTCCAAAGATTTTTGTAACACAAGCTCTGCAGGCTCATTTTGTTGTCCACCTTCCAATGAAAAATATTCATTTGCACTTATTTTATATTTTTTTATGGAATTTATCCCCAAGTCTTGGTCATTTGCTAACGGGAGAAGGTACTTCTCTCCCACGGAAGACGATTCAGAAATATTAAAATCATGTCTTTTCTCACGGAATGAAGGTGCATTGTCATTTATGTCGGGAACATGGATTTCCAGACGGTGCAGATGGGTTGGGTTGCTCAGTATTGCTTCTAGGTAAAGCGTGCATTTTTCCATCCGTGGGCAAAGCTCTTCACGGTCAATCCTGTCGCATACGAACAACAGCCCAGTTTTTAAATCCACGTCAAAATATTTCCTCGTATTCTCAGATAAAATCCTCAGCTCCCGTCTGCCCAAACTGTTGACATCAATGTGTAAATCTTTTGCCAAATTTCCCACTGTAGTCCCTTTGTTCGCCTCTTCAGGGACGGTGAACGAAAGCTGCGCGCGGCCACAACCAAAGAAGAAAAGCAATGCAAAATGACAAATCCAAGTTTCAAAAGCAAATACAACGCACCCCATCACGACCAGACTAAAGAAATATCCAGAGTCGTATCAAACGTGCACATTAGAATCGCAACGAGAACAATTCTTTGCTCTTACAAAGTGCTTGTACGCAACTTGACAAAGGGAGGAGCTATTAATGAAAAAAAGAAAAAGAAGAATACACGTTCAACATTATGGTCTCACGCGCCACCCACTGGAGAGAAAGCGAAGGTCTGATTCTCACAACTGATTCTCAAAAATACAAATTAGGAAAGCATTACGATATGCGTACAAGGCCGAAAAGCACCACTCTTGATAATAAGAACCATGGACAGCGCACACATGGAAAACGAACGGACGCCAAGGATGTTAATAAACGTAACACTTTATACAAAAAAATTAAATAGCCTGAATAAATATAAAACAGACAACGATAATAACAATAGCAGTTGTCAGGGAGGACATTACGAAGTTGTCAATTCACCAACAACATATCAGATATTTATGCATTTCGAAAACAGGAAATACAGTAACAATATATTGTGACTGTAATATTGGTCAGGATAAATATTCAACTATTGGAAGAAACTGATTTTTACTGGTTCCAGTAGTTTAAATAAAACAAACACTTGCTGGATTATATGTTTACCTTGTCTGTAGTGGGTAAAGTCTGGGTCCTGGAGAACGTGTCTCCTCCGTTAATACTGATGAGTTCTCCATCTACAGGAGGAAACGCTGCGGGGAAAACCACTACGTCGCTCTTGAGCGTGTCTGAGCTGAAGCACACGTCATACTGCTGAGTGGATTTGGAGTAGGACCAGCTCCCGTCAGGGTGGGTGGTGATCATGGGGGCGCTGTACCTGCTGAAAGAGCTCTCTGTCCTGTGACATCTGACTGCTATTAACGTGATGAGGCTGAGCAGAAAGATGACTGACACCGCCACAATGGCGATGAGCAGGTACAGGTTTAAATCCGAGAAGCTGTCCTCCTTTATGGGCACATGTCTGAACTGAGTCTGAATGTCCGCTGTGCTCTCCACCACCACTACATCAATAGACACAGTGGCGGACAGGGAGGGCTCTCCGCTGTCACACACCAGCACCACCAAGGGGTGACTTTTCAGGTCATTGTCACTCATCCTCCTCTTGGTGCGGATCTCTCCGGTGCTGGTCCCGATGCGGAACAGGTTGTTCCCTTTGGGCTCAGACAGGTGATAAGAAAGCAGCGCGTTGTAACCAGAGTCTGCGTCTACAGCCCTGATCTTTGCCACAAAGTAGCCCGCTTCAGCGGAGTAGGGGATGCTCTCACTGTTAACGGAGCCATGCTCAGAATAAGGCGCCAGGATTGTGGGACTATTGTCATTTTCATCCAGAACAAACACGTTCACAGTCACGTTACTGCTGAGCGGAGGGACACCAGAGTCTGTGGCCTTCACCTTAAACTGGAACGTTTTGATCTCCTCAAAGTTAAACGTCTGCAGTGTCACTATCTCTCCTGTCTCAGAGTTGATGTTCACAGCTGCTGTTATGGGAATATTTCTATGATTAGTGTCCAAAAGTGTGTACGTCACTTTTGCGTTATTCCCCAGATCTGCATCTAAAGCGTTTACAGAACACAGCACAAAAGCTGTCGGACTGTTTTCTTTCACATAGACATTAAAGACAGTCGCAGTAAAACAAGGCGCATTGTCGTTGACGTCAGATACGTGGACAGTGATGACCCTGCTACTGGACAGAGGGGGGCTGCCCTCGTCTGAGGCTGATATGGTCACGTTGTATTCAGGAGTGTGTTCTCTGTCCAGAGGTCCATCCACCACTAACGAATAGTCGTTTTTGTAATTAGATATGAGTTTAAAGGGGACAGAGCCCAGAACCTTACAGTGCGTCACTCCGTTGTTTCCCGCATCTCTGTCACTGACGCCGATGAGAGCCACTATGGTCCCCATCTCTGCGGCCTCTTTAACAGGCGTCATCAGAGACGTAACGGTGATTTCAGGAGCGTTGTCATTGACATCTAATATTTCTATTAATAATTTTGTATGTGAACTTCTTGGAGAATGACCAAAATCTGTAGCTTGTACTCTGACTTCGAAAGCTGGAGTTTGTTCATAATCCAATGCGCCCGTTATTGAGATTTCGCCACTTTCTGGATTGATTTGAAATATATTTGATGGGTCTGTAATGCCCCCTTTTATGATGGAATACACAATCTTGCCATTCTGCCCCTCGTCTAAATCTGTTGCATTAAGCTGAATCACTTTAGTTCCATGGGGCGCATTTTCCAAAACCTTTGCTTTATACAAAGACTTACTAAACGTGGGGATGTTATCATTAACATCTATAACATTAACTTTAATTTGCAGGGTTCCCGTTTTGGGCGGTTTCCCTCCATCTACGGCTGATAACAACATTGTGACGACAGATTGTTTTTCGCGATCTAAAGGTTTTTGAAGCACTAACTCTGCAGACACACCATGTTCCCCTCCGCTCTGCACATCAACGGAGAAATACTCGTTTGGACTCAATTTGTAGGTTTTCACGGAATAGCTTCCCGTGTCTGCGTCCAAGGCGACAGGGAGCAGATACCTCTCACCAACTAATGATGTTTCAGAAATATTTAAAGAATGCGTGCTTTTTCTGAAGGTCGGGGAATTGTCATTAATATCTAAAACTGCCACGTCGATGCGATGTGCGTTCATGGGATTTCTCAACACTGTCTGTATTTTCAAAGAGCATGTAGCCAGATTGGGGCAAATCTCCTCTCTGTCTATTCTGTCGTTAACAAAGAGAGCACCCGTCAGTTTATTCACGTCCAGATAAGTCTTACTGTAAGTGGAAACTATCCGCAGGTCCCTGGTGTCTATGTCCTGAATGTTCAAGTTTAAATCCTTGACGATGTTTCCAACCACCGTCCCTTTGTTTGCTTCCTCTGGGACGGAGTATGAGAGCTGTGCCGCAGACCAACCAGAAAGATACAGGCACAAAATAGCCCAGAGCGCATTGTATTCCCGACAAAATTGAAGAAACATTTTTCCCCAAACAGAAAAATTCGCCTTGGTCAATCCTGAGACACACGCGTTTACTCCATCAGAGGTTTGTAAATGACGCTCCCGAGCTTCCGCTGCTGGACTATACTGTGCGTGCGTAAAAGAGTGTGGGCGAAACAATACAAGAGTGGGAGGAGTTCCGAGCAATGTTATTATGCAGGTCTCTGGTGACATCACGTGGACATATAAATAGCCTCAAACCTCATTACAAAGCAACTGCAAAATCTAGTCGCAAAATCTAAAATAATTCTATTTATTTTATTTTATTGAAAGTACTATTTTTTGTTGTTTTGTCTTTGTTAAAGAGACAAGCATCTAAGGACTGAGCGGTATATCACGGACAGAACTGAAATTCCTTCAAAGGACGTGATTGCGATGGCCACCTACAAACATGGGGCGTAGCACACTTAAGAGGTTTACCATTTTTGATGTATGTTTTAGATTTAAATTTTATCTAAGATCTTAAATGTTTTTGGAGTAGGGCTTGATGTCACAATTTCTTTAAGACTGGTGCATCAGGAACAAGGCGACAGTAGCCCAGTTGGGGGTCGTGGGTTCGAGCCCACCGTAAGACCTACTTCACGACTCCCACTGATGACTACTGTCGTTGTGTCCTTGGGCAAGACACTTAACCCTACTTTGCCCAAAGCCCCAACTGAAAGATCTCAGCTCCTGTGGACTCACCACCTGCAGGAGGATCAGTGAGGGGAAGGTGCTATGTGTACTGGGTGCAGCTCTGACTGCCACCCCCAGATCCAGAAATGGATTAAGGGGAAGAAAATGGATGGATGGATGGCATCAGGAACAACAGAGTTACTGAACAACAACCAACAAAACACAACTAAGGTAACCCTACTAAATACATTCAAATGATATGGACTGACATATTGGGAGGAATACAAACAAAAATGGACGGTACTGAGTCTGATAACGGACAATTTTTGCCAATTATAGCAAGAGTTTCACACAGTATAGTAATTTCCTGCAACCGCGTTTCAGCACTGTGGACAGCGTCAAATATATTTCAAAGTTTACCTTTAGTAACCAAACGTGTTGGAAGGAAAATACTGTTGTTGTCTTTACGAAATAATAGATAGATAGAGAGATGGATAAGAGATCCTTTATTCGTCCCACAGTGGGGAAATTTCGGTGTTGCAGCACACAGATAGGACAGTAGTAAGAGCACACAGGGAGCACACAAAATATACAAAATAAGTAGTAGCTATGTTTCTTAACTAGCTGTAAATGCTTCGATACCAGCCTTCCAAAATAATTATATATATGTATATATATTATATATATATATCGGCGGATCCCCGGAACAACCTCGGACATCTCGGTCCAGAAATGTGCAGTGCTAGGAACAGCAAAGATACTGCGCAGAACCCTCAAGCTCCCAGGCCTCTGGTAGAGGACCCAAGCTTAGAGAGGGATGGCCGCCCGCGGATGGCCAAAGGTGAGTGAACAATTTTTTTTTTTTTTTATATATATATCTAGTAGTGCAGAGTTATATACTGTACATATAGGGCAGGATAATAAGTAGATAAGGTAAAGTGACATTGTTCAGTGGAAAATAGTAGTGTTTACTTGTGTTGTTATAACATTGATTGTAATTATTGCTAAAATGTATGTCCAATTCATACCTTGTCTGTAGTGGGTAAAGTCTGCGTCCTGGAGAACGTGTCTCCTCCGTTAATACTGATGAGTTCTCCATCTACAGGAGGAAACGCTGCGGGGAAAACCACTACGTCGCTCTTGAGCGTGTCTGAGCTGAAGCACACGTCATACTGCTGAGTGGATTTGGAGTAGGACCAGCTCCCGTCAGGGTGGGTGGTGATCATGGGGGCGCTGTACCTGCTGAGAGAGCTCTCTGTCCTGTGACATCTGACTGCTATTAACGTGATGAGGCTGAGCAGAAAGATGACTGACACCGCCACAATGGCGATGAGCAGGTACAGGTTTAAATCCGAGAAGCTGTCCTCCTTTATGGGCACATGTCTGAACTGAGTCTGAATGTCCGCTGTGCTCTCCACCACCACTACATCAATAGACACAGTGGCGGACAGGGAGGGCTCTCCGCTGTCACACACCAGCACCACCAAGGGGTGACTTTTCAGGTCATTGTCACTCATCCTCCTCTTGGTGCGGATCTCTCCGGTGCTGGTCCCGATGCGGAACAGGTCGTTCCCTTTGGGCTCAGACAGGTGATAAGAAAGCAGCGCGTTGTAGCCAGAGTCTGCGTCTACAGCCCTGATCTTTGCCACAAAGTAGCCCGCTTCAGCGGAGTAGGGGATGCTCTCACTGTTAACGGAGCCGTGCTCAGAATAAGGCGCCAGGATTGTGGGACTATTGTCATTTTCATCCAGAACAAACACGTTCACAGTCACGTTACTGCTGAGCGGAGGGACACCAGAGTCTGTGGCCTTCACCTTAAACTGGAACGTTTTGATCTCCTCAAAGTTAAACGTCTGCAGTGTCACTATCTCTCCTGTCTCTGAGTTTATATTCACAGCTGCTGTTATGGGAATATTTCTATGATTTGTGTCTAAAAGTGTGTACGTCACTTTTGCGTTATTCCCCAGATCTGCATCTAAAGCGTTTACAGAACACAGCACAGAAGCTGTCGGACTGTTTTCTTTCACATAGACATTAAAGACAGTCGCAGTAAAACGAGGCGCATTGTCGTTGACGTCAGACACGTGGACACTGATGACCCTGCTACTGGACAGAGGGGGGCTGCCCTCGTCTGAGGCTGATATGGTCACGTTGTATTCAGTAGTGTGTTCTCTGTCCAGGGGTCCATCCACCACTAACGAATAGTCGTTTTTGTAATTAGATATGAGTTTAAAGGGGGCAGAGCCCAGAACCTTACAGTGCGTCACTCCGTTGTTTCCCGCATCTCTGTCACTGACGCCGATGAGAGCCACTATGGTCCCCATCTCTGCGGCCTCTTTAACAGGCGTCATCAGAGACGTAACGGTGATTTCAGGAGCATTGTCATTGACATCTAATATTTCTATTAATAATTTTGTATGTGAACTACGAGGAACTTGACCTCGATCCACAGCTTGTACTCTAACTTCGTACGCAGAAGTATCTTCGAAATCTAAGTCTTTGCTTATCGTTACTTCTCCTGTTTCTGGTTGGAGATCGACTACATTGTTTGAATATCTGTTGCCCCTGTTTATTATTGAGAAAACTATTTTACTATTCATACCCTCGTCCAAATCTGTAGCGTTTAATGTAATTATTCGTGTTCCCTTTGGAGTGTTTTCAGGAACACTGACTTTATAAAGAGATTTGCTGAACACCGGACTGTTATCGTTCACATCTAACACATTCACAGATATTATTAAGGTCCCTGATCTAGAAGGTTTGCCTCCGTCTATTGCAGTGAGAATAAGCTTGATAAAGGACTGACTTTCTCTGTCCAGGGGTTTTTGCAGCACTAATTCTGCAGACACTCCTTGGTCTCCTCCGCTCTGCACTTCTACTGAAAATAACTCATTTGGACTCAGTCTGTAGGTTTTCACAGCGTTGCTACCGGTGTCTGAATCCACAGCTACAGGGAGCAGATATCTTTCCCCAGTAGAGAGTGATTCCGAAATATTTAACCAAATAATTTCATCCAGAAATATGGGAGGGTTGTCATTAATGTCCAACACACCTACGTCGATTCCATAAACGGCCATAGGATTATTCAGTACAACTTGCATTTTGACGGAGCACTGTTTTGCATCTTGGCAAAGCTCCTCTCGATCTATTCTCTCGCTGACAAAGAGAGCCCCTGTCCGCTGGTTCACATCAAAGTAGTTCTTACTGTAACTCGAAACAATCCGCAGATCTCTGGCCTCTAAATCCTGTGTCTTTAGGTTCAGGTCCTTTGCAATATTTCCCACTGTGGTGCCTTTGTTCACCTCCTCAGACACGGAGTACACGAGCTGTGCCGCATAACCGTCATACAGACACGTCCACAAAATCACCACGGACCAAAACAAATCCTCTGTAACGTGACCAAACATTGTCGATGTCCTTAGAGTCTATAAAAGAGATGTCGTGTCCGGGGCTGTAAGTCACCAATGTGCGCCTTTATCCGCCTGTTCACTCTTGCAAAGCTTTATTATTTCTGATGAAAGAGCGACAAAGACAATTCAACTGATGCCGCCCCCTTAAGGGAGGAGCAACAAACCTGCCTTATGTGGTCTCCTGCCGACACCGTGTGGCCGAAAAGCCCATCAGTAATGGAGAATGATATTTATTTGATTCAGATTTAATTTACATTAAACTAAAAAACAAACAAACAATGACATAAAGATAATAATATCGTATTAATATCACCATAATATGTTGGTGTTGATCACTACTATTGTTATTATTATACTCGATATTGCAGAAGAAAAAAAAACAGCTAATAAAAAGTTATAATGCACTTTCCCTAAAACAATAAGCTTATGAGGACAAATATAAAGAGCCTTAGTTATTTTCTTTCTACAGTCAGGAAAATCAACCAATGTTTCCACAGCAGAGATTGGCCATGTTGAATTATATGCACTAAAAAGCAGTCTGCAATAAAACATAAAAAAATATATTACATAATAGAAAAATACATATTGAAGGCCAAATGAATTGGGCAATTATCCATGCTATAAATTACAAATCATGACAACACCAAATAATGTGCGTGGAGAAGATAGTATGGAATACAAGACCAAGCTAAACAATGACAACTTCGCCGCGTGTGGCAAAGGCAGCACAGTAAAGAAAGTGAACACAGAGCAAAATTCAGCACCTTGGACAGTATGCTCATACAAAAAACAATAATCTGTGTCTGGTAATACGAACATAAGGAACATGAATGCCAGTGCCTTCTCTGCTAACAGTGTCTTTGTTATTGTGAAGCATTTTCTAAAAAATAAATAAATAAATACATAAAAACTTTACTGCTTCCAAACTGTTGCTTTTATACCAAGTATGTGAGAAAGGTATAACAATTGAGATGCTAAACTGCTCCATGAAATACACTGGGTGTATATGTGAGAAATTTAAATAAAGACAAGCCTCACTGTAATTACAGGCGTACCTTATCTGAAGTGGGTAAAGTCTGCGTCCTGGAGAATGTGTCTCCTCCGTTAATACTGATTAGTTCTCCATCTACAGGAGGAAACGCTGCGGGGAAAACCACTACGTCGCTCTTGAGCGTGTCTGAGCTGAAGCACACGTCATACTGCTGAGTGGATTTGGAGTAGGACCAGCTCCCGTCAGGGTGGGTGGTGATCATGGGGGCGCTGTACCTGCTGAGAGAGCTCTCTGTCCTGTGACATCTGACTGCTATTGACGTGATGAGGCTGAGCAGAAAGATGACTGACACCGCCACAATGGCGATGAGCAGGTACAGGTTTAAATCCGAGAAGCTGTCCTCCTTTATGGGCACATGTCTGAACTGAGTCTGAATGTCCGCTGTGCTCTCCACCACCACTACATCAATAGACACAGTGGCGGACAGGGAGGGCTCTCCGCTGTCACACACCAGCACCACCAAGGGGTGACTTTTCAGGTCATTGTCACTCATCCTCCTCTTGGTGCGGATCTCTCCGGTGCTGGTCCCGATGCGGAACAGGTTGTTCCCTTTGGGCTCAGACAGGTGATAAGAAAGCAGCGCGTTATAGCCAGAGTCTGCGTCTACAGCCCTGATCTTTGCCACAAAGTAGCCTGCTTCAGCGGAGTAGGGGATGCTCTCACTGTTAACGGAACCGTGCTCAGAATAAGGCGCCAGGATTGTGGGACTATTGTCATTTTCATCCAGAACAAAAACGTTCACAGTCACGTTACTGCTGAGCGGAGGGACACCAGAGTCTGTGGCCTTCACCTTAAACTGGAACGTTTTGATCTCCTCAAAGTTAAACGTCTGCAGCGTCACTATCTCTCCTGTCTCAGAGTTGATGTTCACAGCTGCTGTTATGGGAATATTTCTAGGATTAGTGTCTAAAAGTGTGTACGTCACTTTTGCGTTATTCCCCAGATCTGCATCTAAAGCGTTTACAGAACACAGCACAGAAGCTGTTGGACTGTTTTCTTTCACATAGACATTAAAGACAGTCGCAGTAAAACGAGGCGCATTGTCGTTAACGTCAGACACGTGGACACTGATGACCCTGCTACTGGACAGAGGGGGGCTGCCCTCGTCTGAGGCTGATATGGTCACGTTGTATTCAGGAGAGTGTTCTCTGTCCAGAGGTCCATCCACCACTAACGAATAGTCGTTTTTGTAATTAGATATGAGTTTAAAGGGGACAGAGCCCAGAACCTTACAGTGCGTCGCTCCGTTGTTTCCCGCATCTCTGTCACTGACGCCGATGAGAGCCACTATGGTCCCCATCTCTGCGGCCTCTTTAACAGGCGTCATCAGAGACGTAACGGTGATTTCAGGAGCGTTGTCATTGACATCTAATATCTCTATTAATAATTTTGTATGTGAACTTCGAGGGGAATGACCAAAATCTGTGGCTTGTACTCTGACTTCGAAAGCTGGGGTTTCTTCATAGTTTAATCTCCCCTTCAGTGTGATTTCTCCTGTTTCTGCATTTAATTGAAACATATTTGACAGATCAATCGTACCCCTTTTAATAATTGAATAAATAACCTTTCCATTCACACTTTCATCTGGATCTGTGGCATTCAGCTTAATGATCACAGTTCCAATAGGTGAATTTTCTTTAACACTTGATTTGTAGAGAGATTTTTCGAATGTTGGGGCATTATCGTTCACATCAATGATATTAACTATTAGACTGGTTGTTCCTGTCCGGGGAGGTTTTCCACCGTCCACTGCTGTTAATACGAGGTTTACAGCTGGTTGTTTTTCCCTGTCCAAAGGTTTTTGCAGAACTAATTCTGCAGAAACGCCATGTTCCCCTCCACTTTGCACGTCCAGAGAGAAAAATTCATTTGGGCTTAGTCTGTACGTTTTCAAAGCATTATTTCCAGTATCTGCGTCCTCAGCGACAGGGAGAAGGTATCGGTCTCCTTGGACTGAAGATTCTGATACATTGATTGAGTGTATAGTATCAGTAAACCTCGGGGAGTTATCATTAATGTCTAATACTATTATTTCAATCCGATGTACAATCATTGGGCTGTTTAAAACAGCCTGTATCTTTAACGAGCATTTTCCCGGAGACAAACAAAGCTCCTCTCTGTCTATTCTCTCGTTAACAGAAAGAGCCCCCGTCCGCCGATTCAGGTCAAAATATGTCTTGCTATAAGTTGAAACAACCCGGGCTTCCCTGGAGTCTAGGTCCTGTAGGTGTAAGTTTAAATCCTTTACGATGTTTCCAAGCACTGTTCCTTTGTTCGCCTCCTCAGAAACAGAATATGAAAGCTGTGCCACAGACGAACCACATACGCAAATCCATAAAACCACGGCAATCCAAAGGACGTCCACTGCACGTTGACCAAACATTCTTTAGAATAAAGGAAATAAATGTGTTCCAGACCCTGACGTGTATCCTCTGAGCGTTTCTCCGTATTGACGGTAGCTGGTCTTTCTCACGAAGATGTATTCCCATGTCAGGGAGGAGCCACGGCAGCTTAGAAGTATTACGGTCTGTTGCGACCCCGTGTGGTTGGATATTATTAAGAATATATATTTCTATTTACTGCATGGCTTTCTCTGATAAGAATGGATTATATTAGATTAAATTAAATTAGAGAAATGTTGTATAGCGAGACATAACATGAAGAGTCAGCTCGGAAGTCTTTGCAAACATACACCAAAAACAGATCAGAGAATGAAACAGTTCGAACGCAAAAAATGCAATAATAAAAAAAATTCAGGAAGGGTATTGTCCTGCTAAAAAAATGATAATAGGATAATAATATGAGATCAGTTTCAATGCAGTGTTTTATAGTATTCAAATAGATGCTCGATGACAAAATCCTACATTTAACCCTAAACAAGTAGTTAAATTGTGTAAAGCAACAATAATATGTGATGCTACAAAACTTTTCTGGATACTTTTTATTAACAGCCCGTTTCAGCACCAGAGACAGCTCAACCCAAGAACATGTTTGTGTCAGGACAATATTACAACAAATAAAAATAAATATATCAGGAAATAAAATCAACACCGCTCATAGTTAAATGTGCCGCATGGTGGTTATAAGAAATTCATACCTTGTCTGAAGTGGGTAAAGTCTGCGTCCTGGAGAATGTGTCTCCTCCGTTAATACTGATTAGTTCTCCATCTACAGGAGGAAACGCTGCGGGGAAAACCACTACGTCGCTCTTGAGCGTGTCTGAGCTGAAGCACACGTCATACTGCTGAGTGGATTTGGAGTAGGACCAGCTCCCGTCAGGGTGGGTGGTGATCATGGGGGCGCTGTACCTGCTGAAAGAGCTCTCTGTCCTGTGACATCTGACTGCTATTAACGTGATGAGGCTGAGCAGAAAGATGACTGACACCGCCACAATGGCGATGAGCAGGTACAGGTTTAAATCCGAGAAGCTGTCCTCCTTTATGGGCACATGTCTGAACTGAGTCTGAATGTCCGCTGTGCTCTCCACCACCACTACATCAATAGACACAGTGGCGGACAGGGAGGGCTCTCCGCTGTCACACACCAGCACCACCAAGGGGTGACTTTTCAGATCATTGTCACTCATCTTCCTCTTGGTGCGGATCTCTCCGGTGCTGGTCCCGATGCGGAACAGGTTGTTCCCTTTGGGCTCAGACAGGTGATAAGAAAGCAGCGCGTTGTAGCCAGAGTCTGCGTCTACAGCCCTGATCTTTGCCACAAAGTAGCCCGCTTCAGCGGAGTAGGGGATGCTCTCACTGTTAACGGAGCCGTGCTCAGAATAAGGCGCCAGGATTGTAGGACTATTGTCATTTTCATCCAGAACAAACACGTTCACAGTCACGTTACTGCTGAGCGGAGGGACACCAGAGTCTGTGGCCTGCACCTTAAACTGGAACGTTTTGATCTCCTCAAAGTTAAACGTCTGCAGCGTCACTATCTCTCCTGTCTCCGAGTTAATATTAACAACAGATGAAGTGGGAATGTTCTTTTTATCACTATTCATCAAACTATAAGATATTCTAGCGTTGCCCATCGAGTCTAAATCTGCCGCCGTGAGTGTGTGGATGAGAGCGCCGATCTGACTGTTCTCTTTCACGTAAACATTGATCACAGCTTCCTGAAAGTGAGGCGGGTTGTCGTTAACATCCGCCACTGTGACATGAATGACACTGACACTGGACAGTGATGGTGTCCCTTCGTCTGCGGCTGAAATTGAAATGTTATAGTCAGACACAGTCTCTCTGTCCAAGGGACCATCCACTAACAAGGAATAATAGTTTTTATAGTTGCGTTTTAATTTGAATGGAGCAGTCCCCATGATTTGACAATCAGTCAGTCCGTTCTTTCCTCCATCTCTGTCAGTAATAGTGATCATGGCCACAGCCGTGCCTCTTTCAGCATCTTCCTTCACAGGACTCATCATTGAAGTCACAGAAATTTCCGGAGCATTGTCATTCACATCTATGACCTCGACTAAGACTTTCCCATGGGCAATGCGCGGAGGCGTGCCTTTGTCACGCACCTGCACGCGGATCTCAAAGGCCTGGTTCAACTCGTAATCAATGTTTCCTTGAACTGTAATTTCACCAGTGTTTACATCTATGACAAAGTTTTCTTCGGGGTTCAATGTTTCACTTTCTGCAAAGGCGTAGACAAGCTGACTATTGACGCCTTCATCTCCATCTGTCGCAGTCAGTGTTAACACATTTGTTCCAATAACTGCATTTTCAACAACCTGTGCTTTGTAAAGACTTTTACTGAAAACAGGAGAATTATCATTCACATCCAACACAATGATTTTGATCTGGACTGTTCCAGTTTTAGGCGGTCGTGCTCCATCTAAAGCCGACAACGTGAGGTCAATAACAGACTGTTTTTCTCGGTCCAGTGGTTTCTGCAGCACAAGTTCTGCAGTGACGCTTTCATCTCCAGCGTCTTGTAAATCCAAAGTGAAATAATCGTTTGGACTTAATTTATAAGACTTTACGGAATTATCACTTTCGTCTCCGTCATGAGCAGCGGGTAGAGGATGTTTTTCGCCAATGTATGTGGATTCATACATGTTTATTGTATAAACGCCTTGTCTAAATTTCGGAATATTATCATTTATATCAATAATAACGACCTCAATCCTGAACAAACCGTGAGGATTGTTGACAATGGCTTCCACATTCAAAACGCACCTCGCTGCATTTGGACAAAGCTCTTCTCTGTCTATTCTTTCTTTGACAACAATAACTCCGCTTTTCCTGTTTATTTCAAAATACTTTTTATCATGAGCCGAGGTGATGCGCAGCCCTGTTGTTTCTAGTTGGTGTAAATTCAGTTTTAAATCCTTGGTGATGTTTCCAACCGTGGTGCCTTCCTCCGCTTCCTCTGAAATGGAATAAGAGATCTGTGCAGCAGAACCTTTGCACAGACAAAGCAGAGAGACACAAAGCGTCCACACAGAAGTCCACTGTCCTCGATCTGCCATTGTGGGAAATCAAAGTTATAATCCAAGAGTTGTGTCCAGTTTCATGTCGTTCAGAAAATAAATATCTCCATTTAGGGTCAGTTCTGTCTCAGATACTTGAACAAATGCGTCCGTGCGCTGTTCCACAAAGAAGAACAACTGGATTAGGACAAGGATGGGCTCTGGGGGCGGGGACAGCGGGACGTCACTCATTACTTTTTGTCATGGTCTCTAGCGACATCTAGTGTTCTGAACAAAGTACAACAATGTTAAAGACCTTGCAAATATATAGTATGATGTTGAAAGGCTCAAAAAGTGTAGGACCACTAATTATATCAATAATAATGTAATGTACTAATGTAAATCTCTTATCTATCTTCTTCAGGACCACGGACAGCGCAAATGGCTTTTACCCAGAATCGTAAATCGTAAAGTGTAATATTACTGGTACTATCTTTTAACACAAAACTGATTCAAAAGAAAAACAATTGAGTACATGTTTGTTACTGATATAATGGTTACAAAGGAATAGAAATAAAGCTGCATTACTGATTTTTTAAGACAAACAAAATCAACCTGTGTAATGCAATCCATCTAACCCTTTCCTATCCCACAAACAAGTTTACTTCTAAAACTAGCGTCTTTTTTGTAACCTCTCTTATATCTTTAGACTTGCGTTTTCAGACGGATTTTTTTTTAATAGACAGGAACATTCTCTTTGGCAGTCACTTCTCAGACTAAAGTGTCAAGTACTGACTCACAAGGTTGTTTCTTTCAGGCCTATACAAAATATGCAATTTGTTTCTGATACAATATTGCATGAGACTTGGGTGGCATCTCTGATTGCCACCCCCCTGACCCAGAAATGGATTAAAGGGTAGAAAATGGATGGACAATATTGCATGTTGTGGTCTAATTTAAATATCTAATATACCTTTACAAGACTTTTAATGTCGGTAGAAAAAAAAGCATATGTTTTTAAAAAGTTGGATACCACTTCTATACACATACGTATATAAACTTATAATTAAATGAACAACTTGGTGCCACGTGCAAGCGAAAGCCAGATCCCGTCAGACCTCAGAAGCTAAGCTACGGGCTGTAAAGTGTCAAATTGTCGTTTTTGCCCTTAGGCAAGATACTTCACCCACATCTTCCCGATGGAAAGAGTCTGGTGTGTGTGCGTGAATGGTTGGTGATGCTCGGAGGGACCGATGGCACATACTGGTTGTCTGACCTCTGTCAGTGTTCCCAAGGGCAACTGTGGCTACAGCAGTAGTTTATCAGCACCGTGTGAAGTGAATGAATAATGACATGGAAAGCGTCTTTGGGTGTCCAGAAAGCGCTATAACAAATGCAGCTCGCGGAAATTCAATTTAGAAGACGTCAGCCAAAAGCTACCCCCTCCAGGCCAGCTCGCATCCCCAGCCTATCGCACAGCAAACGCCCCCTTCCAATCATCCGTGCCGGCCAGGCAGCCGCTTAAAAGCGGAGAAACTCCCACTTCACGGCCTTCTCGAAGCCTCGCAAAGAATCGTTCTGGAGGAATCACCTTCGTCTACTCACGCTACTCATGCGTGTCCCTGGTGTCCTCCGTCTTGCTGCGTTGTGGTCTGCTCCTCCTCCGCGTCCCTGCATCTGCTGTGGTTCGCGTGTCTCCCGTGCTCTCCTCCTCTGCGGGCTCTTTCTGCAGGCTGCTCCGCGGGGCCCCTCCGCGGGTTCCGTGCTGCTCGTTCCTCGTGGTCTGCTGTCGCGCGCAGACGGTCTGGCGGTGCCGTGCGTGTCCCTGCCTCCGTCGGCGGTGCCGCGTTGTCCCGTTGCTTTTCCCAAGTCTCCTGGCATGTGTGTGTGTTGACCGCGGATGGATTAATCCCGGAGTCTGGGCTGCAGGCTTGGTTTTTGCCTCGCGCACTTGACTGCAGGCGTCAGTTTCGCCCCGTGCTTGGTCTGCAGGCTTCGTTTTCACACGTGTTTGAGCTAACTGAGGGGCAATGCATATTAAATGGCATCAATCTCTATCGTCCGGGGATACAAGAGGCGCAATGTGCATTAATTCAGATTCATGTTCTGCCACTCGCAGTAAAACCACGTCGGAAAAATCTGCAAGACTACCCCATTGTGCTCCAGACGGCACACACCAGAGCTCTTGCCACGGCGCCATATTTACAGCATAATCTCATTACTCGCAGGTCACTATTGTTAAATGATTGTATTAAATTCGTCTATCTGCAGGAGGAAGGAGGGGCCATGCATTTAAATAGCTAGGTCACTGGTATTCAATTAGGTAACTAAACTGCAGTTGTTGCATTTGAAAGTGCAGCAGAAAGAAAAAGGGCCCAACGTGAATCTGCAATGGGTGTGAAGTGGTGTTGGAGCTAATGAACGCGTGGTGAACAGTGATCGTTCATGCGTATCTGCCATAACCAAAGCAGCAAGATGGCTCCAGGGGACGTCTGTTATTCGCATGGGAATGTTTCGGATTCGGGTTGATTTATTTCCTCAGGCTGTTAAACAACCGTGGGCATGGTTCTCTGACCGCCGCCGCTGCCGGTCCCTGCTGCCGTTCCTACTGATGCCTGATCCCGCTGCTGCCTGTTCCTGCTGCCGCTCCTGCTGCTGCCCGTTCCTGCTGCTGCTCCTGCTGCTGTCTGTCCCCGTTGCCTGCTCCTGCTGCTCCTGCTACTACACGGGCCGCTGCCGCTGTTCCTGCCGCTGCCGCTCCGCGGGCTCCCAGGCTGCACCCGTCTCTACGGCTCGGCTCTTTCAGACACGTATATAACCTGGCTCACGGAGACAAGCGGCGCACACTGGCGTGACACGTCTGTTGTTCGTATGAATCTCATTGTGGTGCTGCTGCTCCTGCTAATACTGCTCTGCTGCTTCATACTGCTACCGCTACTGCTGCTACTGCTGCCGCTGCTGCTTCATACTGCTACTGCTGCCGCTACTGCTGCTACTGCTTCATGTACTTCGACATCTCTCTTCACTTCGCATCTCTTTTACTGAAACACTAAACAGCTACAACAATATTCTACTGCTGTGGCTTTGATACAGGATCATTGCTGTTATTATCTACGGATGCTGCAGCTGCTGCTGCTGCTACTGCTGCTGCTGCTTCTTACTGCTACTGCTGCTGCTGCTTCATACTGCTACTGCTGCTACTGCTGCTGCTTCATACTGCTACTGCTGCTACTACTGCTGCTGCTGCTTCATTTACTTTGCTATCTCTCTTCACTTGCATCTCTTTTTCTGAAACACTGAACAGCTACAACAACATTCTACTGCTGCGGCTTTGATACAGGATTATTGCTGTTATTTTCTAAGGATGCTGCTACTGCTGCTGCTGCTGCTGCTGCCGCGGCTTGATACAGGATTTTTGCTGCTATTACCTGAGGTTTCTGCTGCTGCCGCTACTGCTACTGCTACTGCTGCAACCCACTCTCTCAGAAGCTTATTTGCTTCTAATGGACGCAGCCCGGCTGAGTATGCCGCGCTGCGCTGGACTCGCACCTATGCTCCCAGGGTCGCTTCGGCGGACATGCTTCATCTCTCTACTAATCTTCTGATTCTATCAGATGCAGCTGGCCAAGTAGCTGCGCTGAGCTGTCAATCGGACTCCTAATCAAAGGCATCCATACCTGTATTCTTCACTCTTCTGATCGCAGGCTCCCCATCACGCTGCCCATCCTGCAGCGGCTCTGAGCGGCACCGAACTCCGGCTCATCTTCCAAGTACATGTCTGCCCTCCTCGCAGCATCTTCCTGCTCGCCTTCTATGGCTTCTCTGCATAAGCGTTTCACTACTGCTCACTCAACCTTCATGCGGTCCGAGACACGGCTTTCCCGACCATCCTACTATCCTGATTATCTACTCTCCAACCCCAGATTCTAAGCGTAAGGGCGCCTGCAACATCAATGGCCCTCTCCGATATGTCTCTGCCCCTACAGGTCTCCGCTTCTACACGGACGTGCCCCTTCCGTGGGTTTTGGGGGGTTCTTCCAGGACCATTGGGTTGCCGGGCCGTGGCCGCTACTTCCACCGGAGCATCTCCTCTGCCCTACACGAGACATTCCCAGTGGTTGTGGCCTGCGCGCCGTGGAATCACACGTGGCAGAGAAAGAGGATCTCTGTCATGCGTGATAATCTCGACGTAGTGGAAGCATTACACAAAAGTCGCTCTTTTTCACCCAACATGTCCCCTGACCATTTCAACCTCCATCTCAAACATTCAAAGATCAAAGGCGCCTGCAACATAATAATAGCTCGCTCCGACACATCTCTCTGCCCCTACAGGTCCATGATGCGTTACACTCGCCTCCGCGGCAAAAAGGAGATTTTAACGAACCTCTAATTCTCACTCCAGACAACCTTCCCATGACAGCAACCTGGTTCAGAGCTCAGCTAAGATCCCTACTGCTCCTCTGCAATTTGTCTCCCCAGCTCCATACAGCCCACTCCTTCAGGATAGGCGCTGCCACGCGCGCGGCCTCGCTGGGGCTCCCCCACACCTCTCTGCAACAGCTGGGGCGCTGGTCCTCTTCGGCTTTCTCCGCCTACGTCAGGCCAGACGCGTCCGCTATCCTGGCTGCACAAACGTCTACTGGCTTCCTCGTAAGCTCCCAGCAAAGCAATACGAAGCAAAGTAAGTGAAGCAATAAGTTCTGGTGGCGGCACGCACTTTTCTCAAACACTCTCCGCTGCCGCAGCGTCTGACGGAACGTGATGCGAGCGCTCACGTTCCCAGCGCGCAAAGATAACCCTGCTGCAGCGTCTGGTTGATCGTGATGCGAGCGCTCACGTCCCAGCGCTCAAAGTAACTCTGCTGCAGCGTCCGGTTGATCGTGATGCGAGCGCTCACGTCCCGGCGCTCAAAGATAACCGCATATAACACACAGCATATAGCGATAGCGGTCACAGCATATAGTGATAGCGGTCATAGCATCAGTGATAGCGGTCATAGCATCAGTGATAGCGGTCATAGCATCAGTGATAGCGGTCATAGCATCAGTGATAGCGGTCATAGCATTAGCGATAGCGGTCACAGCATAGCAAAAAATGGTTAGCGCATAAACGGTCACAGCATAGTGATAGCGGTCACAGCATAGCGATAGCGGTCACAGCATAGCAATAGCGGTCACAGCATAGCGATAGCGGTCACAGCATAGCGATAGCGGTCACGACGTCTGTCCCCTGCAAAACAGGCTGCAAAACTCCATCAACACACAGCTTTTTTGGGGATTGTGCGCGCTCTATCGCAGGAGCCTCTCCGACTGAAGGCCGCACCGGGGCCTAGGGCGCCAAACCACCTCTCATTAAAATACTCAAAAGCATTCTCGCTTTCTCGTCTCTCCAAATTGAAATGCAGCTCGCGGAAATTCAATTTAGAAGACGTCAACCAAATGCTGCCAAAATGCCGCCACCAGTGCCTAGGTCCCGGGGGATTGTGCGCGCTCTATCGCAGGAGCCTCTCCAACTGAAGGCCGCACCGGGGCCTAGGGCGCCAAACCACCTCTCATTAAAATACTCAAAAGCATTCTCGCTTTCTCGTCTCTCCAAATTGAAATGCATTATTATTATGGCAGAATCATTCCAAATAACTTGTTTATAGAATAGTTTGCATGAACAAAAACACTCACAAGGAGGTTTCCAAATAAACAACTAAAGCAGTGAGGAAGGGTTAATTATGTCGTAGGGTTGCCAAAAATAGGATTTAAAAAACTGGCATTCGTCAAAGATTCAGGATGGTTCACAAAATGAACCAAACAATTAAAAGCAGCAGCTTATATATATATATATATATATATATATATATATATATATATATATATATATATATATATATATATATATATATATATATATATATATAATAAGCTTCGGATATACGACTAATGGGCATTGCCTGACTCATGGGCCACGGCCGAAACGTTGCAATATCAAAACTTAAAACATTGGTGTATGCATGTACAGTGTGCAAGAGTTGTTTTCTTCCTTGTCATAATTTTATTTGGAAAATTCATATAACTCTTAGAGATATACAAAGAACTGAACACACGTAAGGTGGTTTAGGCTCCTATAACTTCATCAGACAAAATATTTTTCAAGTGTTTATTTAAAGGCCCAGGCCTACCTTGTCTGTAGTGGGTAAAGTCTGCGTCCTGGAGAACGTGTCTCCTCCGTTAATACTGATGAGTTCTCCATCTACAGGAGGAAACGTTGCGGGGAAAACCGCTACGTCGCTCTTGAGCGTGTCTGAGCTGAAGCACACGTCATACTGCTGAGTGGATTTGGAGTAGGACCAGCTCCCGTCAGGGTGGGTGGTGATCATGGGGGCGCTGTACCTGCTGAAAGAGCTCTCTGTCCTGTGACATCTGACTGCTATTAACGTGATGAGGCTGAGCAGAAAGACGACTGACACCGCCACAATGGCGATGAGCAGGTACAGGTTTAAATCCAAGAAGCTGTCCTCCTTTATGGGCACATGTCTGAACTGAGTCTGAATGTCCGCTGTGCTCTCCACCACCACTACATCAATAGACACAGTGGCGGACAGGGAGGGCTCTCCGCTGTCACACACCAGCACCACCAAGGGGTGAATTTTCAGGTCATTGTCACTCATCCTCCTCTTGGTGCGGATCTCTCCGGTGCTGGTCCCGATGCGGAACAGGTTGTTCCCTTTGGGCTCAGACAGGTGATAAGAAAGCAGCGCGTTGTAGCCAGAGTCTGCGTCTACAGCCCTGATCTTTGCCACAAAGTAGCCCGCTTCAGCGGAGTAGGGGATGCTCTCACTGTTAACGGAGCCGTGCTCAGAATAAGGCGCCAGGATTGTGGGACTATTGTCATTTTCATCCAGAACAAACACGTTCACAGTCACGTTACTGCTGAGCGGAGGGACACCAGAGTCTGTGGCCTGCACCTTAAACTGGAACGTTTTGATCTCCTCAAAGTTAAACGTTTGCAACGTCACTATCTCTCCTGTCTCAGAGTTAATATTAACGACAGATGAAGTGGGAATGTTCTTTTTATCACTATTTAACAAACTGTAAGATATTCTAGCATTGTCCATCGAGTCTAAATCTGCCGCCGTGAGTGTATGGATGAGAGCGCCCATCTGACTGTTCTCTTTCACGTAAACATTGATCACAGATTCCTGAAAGTGAGGCGGGTTGTCGTTAACATCCGCCACTGTGACGTGAATGACACTGACACTGGACAGTGATGGCGTCCCTTCGTCTGCGGCTGAAACTGAAATGTTATAGTCAGACACAGTCTCTCTGTCCAGGGGACCATCCACTAACAAGGAATAAAAGTTTTTATAGTTGCGTTTTAATTTGAATGGAGCAGTCCCCATGATTTGACAATCAGTCAGTCCGTTCTTTCCTCCATCTCTGTCAGTAATAGTAATCATGGCCACAGCCGTGCCTCTTTCAGCATCTTCCTTCACAGGACTCATCATTGAAGTCACAGAAATCTCCGGAGCATTATCATTCACATCTATGACCTCGACTAAGACTTTCCCATGGGCAATGCGCGGAGGTGTGCCTTTGTCACGCACCTGCACGCGGATCTCAAAGGCCTGGTTCAACTCGTAATCAATGTTTCCTTTTACTGTAATTTCACCAGTATTAATATTTATAGAAAACTTCTCGTCAGGTTTAATTCGTACCTTTTCTGCAAAGGCGTAGACAAGCTGACTATTGACGCCTTCATCTACATCTGTCGCTGTCAGTGTTAACACATTTGTTCCAATAACTGCATTTTCAACAACCTGCGCTTTGTAAAGACTTTTACTGAAAACAGGAGAATTATCATTCACATCCAACACAATGATTTTGATCTGGACTGTTCCAGTTTTAGGCGGTCGTGCTCCATCTAAAGCCGACAACGTGATGTCAATAACAGACTGTTTTTCTCGGTCCAGTGGTTTCTGCAGCACAAGTTCTGCAGTGACGCTTTCATCTCCTGTGTCTTGTAAATCCAATGAGAAATACTCGTTTGGACTTAATTTATAAGACTTTACAGAATTACTACCTTCGTCTGCGTCATGAGCAGCGGGTAGAGGATGTTTTTCACCAACATATGAGGATTCTGGCATGTCAAATGTAAATAAATCTTCCATGAATTTTGGGTAATTGTCATTTATATCAATAATAACGACTTCAATCCTGAACAAACCGTGAGGATTGTTGACAATTGCTTCCACATTCAAAACGCACCTCGCTGCATTTGGACAAAGCTCTTCTCTGTCTATTCTTTCTTTGACAACAATAACTCCGCTTTTCCTTTTTATTTCCAAATACTCTTTATCATGAGCCGAGGTGATGCGCAGCCCTGTTGTTTCTAGTTGGTGTAAATTCAGTTTTAAATCCTTGGTGATGTTTCCAACCGTGGTGCCTTCCTCCGCTTCCTCTGAAATGGAATAAGAGATCTGTGCAGCAGAACCTTTGCACAGACAAAGCAGAGAGACACAGAGCGTCCACACAGAAGTCCACTGTCCTCGATCTGCCATTGTGGGAAATCAAAGTTATAATCCAAGAGTTGTGTCCAGTTTCATGTCGTTCAGAAAATAAATATCTCCATTTAGGGTCAGTTCTGTCTCAGATACTTGAACAAATGCGTCCGTGCGCTGTTCCACAAAGAAGAACAACCCGATTATGACAAGGATGGGCTCTGGGGGTGGGGACTGCGGGACGTCACTCATTATTTTTGTCATGGTCTCTAGTGACATCTAGTGTTCAAACACACTTGTTTACAGACAATTTTCAATTGCACAGAGGGATATACTATTTCATTTTGAGTTTAAAGGACACAAACAGATGATGTTCACGGATACATATTTTCAAGAAGGAGATCAGATCCTAACAGGAAAAGTAAACGTGAGGAAAACTATTCAAAACAATTTATAAATATTGTGAAAGTCCATATTAAAGGCAGGTACTTATGGACTATGAAAAATATATTTCCCTTGGCTTATCATCCATATCTGCCGTGAAGAAAGCAGGTTTCAGCACCATGGAAAGCATGTAGTGATTGACAATCACGTCTTAACAATCAATTATCCTTATTCATTCTTTTATCAGATGTAATATTTCATATAGTAATATTCCTTCAACTTATCAAAATAGAAAATAAATCAGATATTTATAAAAGAAGAGTCACGAAATTGAGAAAATCGTTTTTAAAAATAACTAGAAATAAGAGCAATCATTCATTTGTTGTTAAATGTCCTATATCATACAGTTAGGGTAATGTCTTTACGGATTCATACAACTACGATGTGTAATAACTAAATTATTATTTCCATAATATACTCAGCTATGTGTCATAAAACAGATGAGAATTTATTAATAAGTAAGAACATGTTTTTATAAAATAATGAGGATCTGAAAACAATCAAAACCTTGGACAGCAGACAATGTCGCCCACAAGAATGTGCTTTTAAATTTAACAATGTTGTGAAATACAAAACATTATAATAAAAGTGTGACTCTGAATGGTAAAAAATTACCACTGTCCTCATAGTTTGCAGCAAATTTATACCACACATGTAAATTTAGAGATCTTTTATTATATTACAGGCCTACCTTATCTGTAGTGGGTAAAGTCTGCGTCCTGGAGAACGTGTCTCCTCCGTTAATACTGATGAGTTCTCCATCTACAGGAGGAAACGTTGCGGGGAAAACCACTACGTCGCTCTTGAGCGTGTCTGAGCTGAAGCACACGTCATACTGCTGAGTGGATTTGGAGTAGGACCAGCTCCCGTCAGGGTGGGTGGTGATCATGGGGGCGCTGTACCTGCTGAAAGAGCTCTCTGTCCTGTGACATCTGACTGCTATTAACGTGATGAGGCTGAGCAGAAAGACGACTGACACCGCCACAATGGCGATGAGTAGGTACAGGTTTAAATCCGAGAAGCTGTCCTCCTTTATGGGCACATGTCTGAACTGAGTCTGAATGTCCGCTGTGCTCTCCACCACCACTACATCAATAGACACAGTGGCGGACAGGGAGGGCTCTCCGCTGTCACACACCAGCACCACCAAGGGGTGACTTTTCAGGTCATTGTCACTCATCCTCCTCTTGGTGCGGATCTCTCCGGTACTGGTCCCGATGCGGAACAGGTTGTTCCCTTTGGGCTCAGACAGGTGATAAGAAAGCAGCGCGTTGTAGCCAGAGTCTGCGTCTACAGCCCTGATCTTTGCCACAAAGTAGCCTGCTTCAGCGGAGTAGGGGATGCTCTCACTGTTAACGGAGCCGTGCTCAGAATAAGGCGCCAGGATTGTGGGACTATTGTCATTTTCATCCAGAACAAACACGTTCACAGTCACGTTACTGCTGAGCGGAGGGACACCAGAGTCTGTGGCCTGCACCTTAAACTGGAACGTCTTGATCTCCTCAAAGTTAAACGTCTGCAGCGTCACTATCTCTCCTGTCTCTGAGTTTATATTTATAAACGTTAAAAGCGAAAGTTTACTTTCAACAAATAATGTGTAAGTAACACGTCCATTTTCATGGCTGTCCTCGTCTACTGCAGTTACAGTTGCAAGCGCTTTTCCGATAGGGCTATTTTCTTTCACGTACAACTTAAGTGATGGCTCTGAAAACCTTGGAGCGTTGTCATTAACATCAGAAACTTGAATTAGAATAACTGCTGCACTTGACAGAGGAGGTGTACCTTCATCTGTTGCCTGGACAGTAACATTATAATCAAATGTTTTCTCTCGGTCCAACGCCTCACTGACAACAACTGAATAATAGTTTTTATAATTTTCTTCCAATTTGAAAGGTACACCATCTAATACTTCACATTTGACTTTTCCGTTGTCCCCCGCGTCTCTGTCCAGCACTGACACTAGAGCAACAGCTGTGCCCATGTCAGCGTCCTCCTTTACGTGACTGAGGAGGGACGTGACGGTGATCTCTGGTGCGTTGTCGTTCACATCCTCTACTTCCACTAACACTTTGCACTGCGACGTTAGAGGCGGCTGTCCTTTGTCCGTAGCCTCCACTCGAATCTCAAACGCGGGGTTTATTTCATAGTCAATGATTCCTAAAACGGTTATAATTCCCAATTCCGGGTGTATCTGAAACATTTCCAATACATGATCCTGGTCTTTCGCGCTGAGACTGTATGAGACGTCTTTGTTAACGTCCGCATCTGCGTCTGTGGCACTCACAGCGATCACTGTCGTACCTAGGGGGGAAATTTCTGCCAGTCTCGTTTTGTACAATGTTTTGGTGAATACGGGGATATTATCATTGATGTCCAATACGTTTACAATTATTTCAGAGGTTCCTGATTTTGGAGGTGTCCCCCCATCAACAGCAGTCAACGTCAGTCTTATTAATTGCTGCTTTTCTCTGTCTAAAGATTTCTGAAGAACCATCTCCGCTGATACTCTCTCACCTTTATGTACGGCCAGATAGAAATATTCATTATTATTTATCTTGTATGTGACTATATTATTTTTCCCAACGTCTGCATCAAAGGCAGACAACACGGGGAATGTAGCTCCGGGTACGATGCTCTCCGCTATATCAACAGTTTGTGATTTAGCACTGAACAACGGGTAATTATCATTTATATCAAGAATATGAACCTCTATACGGTATAGCTTCAAAGGCTTGTTAATCACTGCTTCTATGTTCACGGTACATTTTGACGCTTTGGCACAGAGCTCCTCCCTGTCTATCCTTTCAGTCACGTAAAGGACACCAGAGTGTAAATTCGCATCAAAATATTTCTTCCTCATCCCGGTAACAATCTGAAACAAACGAGATTCCAATTCAAAGACATTGAGGTTTAGATCTTTGGCGATGTTTCCCACAACAGTCCCGACGGCAACTTCCTCTGCAACAGAATACGACAGCTGTCCAGTTACAGCGACAATATAATCCAGTAAAATCAGAAAAAACACCCCACAACACGGTGCCGTCTGTTGAAGTCGCATATTCCAATGAGACAAATCCAAATCCAAAGCGAGGATGAAAATGTTGAACAAACAATTCCAAGGTTCTTTTTGTGATAGTGTCGTTTTGTGTTCGACAACGGCTGTGGTAACAAAGCGCAGCGAGGGTGGGGTGTGCGGGAGTATGAGGAAGGGGTGTCTTATAGGCATTTTGCGGTCTTGAGTGTCACCTAAAGGACACATTAAATTACTGCAACGTGGGAAAAAATGCTCACAAAACCATACAGGATGATTATATGACAAATACATGTACGATTGAAAAAAAAGGTAATTTACTTGGAAATGACAATAACTTGTATCTGTTATATAAATACATAATGGAGCGATATTGCAAATTAGAAATGGCCGTACAGTTAAAGACGTCTGATTAAAACATCAATTATTTAGTGTCACCTAAGAAATTGTACGATATGCTGTGCTAAAAATACAAAATAAATCCAGAATATATCCCTCGTGCATGACATATTCTAATAAAAATCTAAATAAAACTCCGTGAATATGTCTTTTGATGCAGTAAGATAGGAATTTGTTGCAAAATTATAATAAAATAAAAATTATAAAAACAATGAAATGGGCAATCTTACTACTGCTATTTAATATTCTATATAACGCCCCAAAAGAGAAAATACAAATGATTTAGCACCCTGGACAGCACAGAGGAATATAAGGTAAAACTGCGAATTAGAAAAAAAAAACAAACAAACTGCATAATGAAAAAAAAGGATTTCAACCATGAATTATTGGTAGTAATCACTTGTCTGTTTCAGGGCAGCTAACTTATTATGGGTTATTTAAGACACAAAAAGAGATGAATATTGATTTAAAGGCCCAGGCATACCTTGTCTGTAGTGGGTAAAGTCTGGGTCCTGGAGAACGTGTCTCCTCCGTTAATACTGATGAGTTCTCCATCTACAGGAGGAAACGCTGCGGGGAAAACCACTACGTCGCTCTTGAGCGTGTCTGAGCTGAAGCACACGTCATACTGCTGAGTGGATTTGGAGTAGGACCAGCTCCCGTCAGGGTGGGTGGTGATCATGGGGGCGCTGTACCTGCTGAAAGAGCTCTCTGTCCTGTGACATCTGACTGCTATTAACGTGATGAGGCTGAGCAGAAAGATGACTGACACCGCCACAATGGCGATGAGCAGGTACAGGTTTAAATCCGAGAAGCTGTCCTCCTTTATGGGCACATGTCTGAACTGAGTCTGAATGTCCGCTGTGCTCTCCACCACCACTACATCAATAGACACAGTGGCGGACAGGGAGGGCTCTCCGCTGTCACACACCAGCACCACCAAGGGGTGACTTTTCAGGTCATTGTCACTCATCCTCCTCTTGGTGCGGATCTCTCCGGTGCTGGTCCCGATGCGGAACAGGTTGTTCCCTTTGGGCTCAGACAGGTGATAAGAAAGCAGCGCGTTGTAGCCAGAGTCTGCGTCTACAGCCCTGATCTTTGCCACAAAGTAGCCCGCTTCAGCGGAGTAGGGGATGCTCTCACTGTTAACGGAGCCGTGCTCAGAATAAGGCGCCAGGATTGTGGGACTATTGTCATTTTCATCCAGAACAAACACGTTCACAGTCACGTTACTGCTGAGCGGAGGGACACCAGAGTCTGTGGCCTGCACCTTAAACTGGAACATTTTGATCTCCTCAAAGTTAAACGTCTGCAGCGTCACTATCTCTCCTGTCTCTGAGTTAATATTAACGATGGATGAAGTGGGAATGTTCTTTTTATCACTATCTAACAAACTGTAAGATATTCTAGCGTTGTCAATCGAGTCTAAATCTGCCGCCGTGAGCGTGTGGATGAGAGCGCCCATCTGACTGTTCTCTTTCACGTAAACATTGATCACAGATTCCTGAAAGTGAGGCGGGTTGTCGTTAACATCCGCCACTGTGACGTGAATGACACTGACACTTGACAGTGATGGCGTCCCTTCGTCTGCGGCTGAAACTGATATGTTATAGTCAGACACAGTCTCTCTGTCCAGGAGACCATCCACTAACAAGGAATAATAGTTTTTATAGTTGCGTTTTAATTTGAATGGAGCAGTCCCCATGATTTGACAATCAGTCAGTCCGTTCTTTCCTCCATCTCTGTCAGTAATAGTGATCATGGCCACAGCTGTGCCTCTTTCAGCATCTTCCTTCACAGGACTCTTCAATGAAGTCACAGAAATCTCCGGAGCATTGTCATTCACATCTATGACCTCGACTAAGACTTTCCCATGGGCAATGCGCGGAGGCGTGCCTTTGTCACGCACCTGCACGCGGATCTCAAAGGCCTGGTTCAACTCGTAATCAATGTTTCCTTTTACTGTAATTTCACCAGAGTTTACATCTATTAGAAAGTTTTCTTCGGAGTTCAATGTTTCACTTTCTGCAAAGGCGTAGACAAGCTGACTATTGACGCCTTCATCTACATCTGTCGCAGTCAGTGTTAACACATTTGTTCCAATAACTGCATTTTCAACAACCTGCGCTTTGTAAAGACTTTGACTGAAAACAGGAGAATTATCATTCACATCCAACACAATGATTTTGATCTGGACTGTTCCAGTTTTAGGCGGTCGTGCTCCATCTAAAGCCGACAACGTGAGGTCAATAACAGACTGTTTTTCTCGGTCCAGTGGTTTCTGCAGCACAAGTTCTGCAGTAACCCTTTTGTCTCCAGTTTGCACATCCAAAGAGAAAAATTCATTTGGACTTAAATGATAGGATTTCACTGAATAACTTCCTTCATCTGCGTCATGAGCAGCGGGTAATGGATGTTTTTCGCCGATATATGAGGACTCTGGCATGTTTATTGTATATTTCATTTGCCGAAATGTTGGAATATTATCATTTATATCAATAATAACGACCTCAATCCTGTATACCCCGTGAGGATTGTCCACAATTGCTTCCACATTCAAAACGCACCTCGCTGCATTGGGACAAAGCTCTTCTCTGTCTATTCTTTCTTTGACAACAATAACTCCACTTTTCCTGTTTATTTCTAAATACTCTTTATCATGAGCCGAGGTGATGCGCAGCCCTGTTGTTTCTAGTTGGTGTAAATTCAGTTTTAAATCCTTGGTGATGTTTCCAACCGTGGTGCCTTTCTCCGCTTCCTCTGAAATGGAATAAGAGATCTGTGCAGCAGAACCTTTGCACAGACAAAGCAGAGAGACACAGAGCGTCCACACAGAAGTCCACTGTCCTCGATCTGCCATTGTGGGAAATCAAAGTTATAATCCAAGAGTTGTGTCCAGTTTCATGTCGTTCAGAAAATAAATATCTCCATTTAGGGTCAGTTCTGTCTCAAATACTTGAACAAATGCGTCCGTGCGCTGTTCCACAAAGAAGAACAACCCGATTATGACAAGGATGGGCTCTGGGGGCGGGGACTGCGGGACGTCACTCATTATTTTTGTCATGGTCTCTAGTGACATCTAGTGTTCAAATACACTTGTTAACAGACAATTTCAAGTGCACAGAGGGATATACTATTTCATTTTGAGTTTAAAGGACAAAACAGATGGTGCACACGGGACATATTTTCAAGAAGGAGATCAAATCCTAACAGGAAAAGTAAACGTGAGGAAAACTATTCAAAACAATGTATAAATATTGTGAAAGTCCATATTAAAGGCAGGTACTTATGGACTATGAAAAATATATTTTCCTTGGCTTATCATCCATATCTGCCGTGAAGAAAGCAGGTTTCAGCACCATGGAAAGCATGTAGTGATTGACAATCACATGTCTTAACAATCAAATATCCTTATTAATTCTTATATCAGATGTAATATTTCATATAGTCATTTTGGGAGCCAAGTTAAGCTTTGTTAGTTAGATATTTGCATGTTGCATAGTGTATATTAGAGTGTTACTAATTGTATTGTTTATTTTGTTATAAATTAGTAGTAACGTATTTATTTGCTTAATTAGTATTTTATGTTAATTTAGGAACTACATTTCATGTTTGTAAATACCCTTGTTGAACTAGGTTATTTTTGTTTTACATTTAACATTTACGTAACCGTCGCTTTAAGAGAGATAGGTTTTGGTTTGTTTACAGAGGAGCGAGCGAGAAGAGAGCGAGCGTAATTAGAGAGAGGAAGGTAACTTTGGCAGCTCAGGAGATAAGGAGCCAAAGGGTTTTCTTACCGCATTTATTTTATTAAGAGACAACTCAGCAAAGTAATTTCGTGTACAAGAGTGTGGAATAAACGTTTGTTAATTTTTACATGGAATCCCATGGGAGTTTTTCTCTTTTTTAAAGTAACGCGAGTAAGCCATCGGCAACAATTGGAACCGCAGAGTACAGTCATATTCCTTCAACTTATCAAATTAGAAAATAAAGCAGATATTTATAAAAGAAGAGTCACGAAATTGAGAAAATTGTGTTTAAAATTAAATAAATAAGAGCAATCATTCAGTTGTTGTTAAATGTCCTATAAATTTAGGATGATGTTTTTACGGATTCATACAACTACGATGTGTAATAACTAAATTATTATTTCCATAATATACTCAGCTATGTGTCATAAAACAGATGAGAATTTATTATTAAGTAAGAACATATTTTTATAAAATCATGAGGATCAGAAAACAATCAAAACCTTGGACAGCAGACAATGTCGACCACAAGAATGTGCTTTTAAATTTAACAATGTTGTGAATTACAAAAAAAAACTCAGAATAGTAAAAATGTACCACTGTCCTCATCGTTTGCAGCAAATTTATACCACACATGTCAATTTCGAGATCTTTTATCATATTACAGGCCTACCTTATCTGTAGTGGGTAAAGTCTGCGTCCTGGAGAACGTGTCTCCTCCGTTAATACTGATGAGTTCTCCATCTACAGGAGGAAACGCTGCGGGGAAAACCACTACGTCGCTCTTGAGCGTGTCTGAGCTGAAGCACACGTCATACTGCTGAGTGGATTTGGAGTAGGACCAGCTCCCGTCAGGGTGGGTGGTGATCATGGGGGCGCTGTACCTGCTGAAAGAGCTCTCTGTCCTGTGACATCTGACTGCTATTAACGTGATGAGGCTGAGCAGAAAGATGACTGACACCGCCACAATGGCGATGAGCAGGTACAGGTTTAAATCCGAGAAGCTGTCCTCCTTTATGGGCACATGTCTGAACTGAGTCTGAATGTCCGCTGTGCTCTCCACCACCACTACATCAATAGACACAGTGGCGGACAGGGAGGGCTCTCCGCTGTCACACACCAGCACCACCAAGGGGTGACTTTTCAGGTCATTGTCACTCATCCTCCTCTTGGTGCGGATCTCTCCGGTGCTGGTCCCGATGCGGAACAGGTTGTTCCCTTTGGGCTCAGACAGGTGATAAGAAAGCAGCGCGTTGTAGCCAGAGTCTGCGTCTACAGCCCTGATCTTTGCCACAAAGTAGCCTGCTTCAGCGGAGTAGGGGATGCTCTCACTGTTAACGGAGCCGTGCTCAGAATAAGGCGCCAGGATTGTGGGACTATTGTCATTTTCATCCAGAACAAACACGTTCACAGTCACGTTACTGCTGAGCGGAGGGACACCAGAGTCTGTGGCCTGCACCTTAAACTGGAACGTTTTGATCTCCTCAAAGTTAAACGTCTGCAGCGTCACTATATCTCCTGTCTCAGAGTTAATATTAACGAAAGATGAAGTAGGAATGTTCTTTTTATCACTATCTAACAAACTGTAAGATATTCTAGCGTTGCCCATCGAGTCTAAATCTGCCGCCGTGAGCGTGTGGATGAGAGCGCCCATCTGACTGTTCTCTTTCACGTAAACATTGATCACAGATTCCTGAAAGTGAGGCGGGTTGTCGTTAACATCCGCCACTGTGACGTGAATGACACTGACACTGGACAGAGATGGCGTCCCTTCGTCTGCGGCTGAAATTGATATGTTATAGTCAGACACAGTCTCTCTGTCCAGGGGACCATCCACTAACAAAGAATAATAGTTTTTATAGTTGCGTTTTAATTTGAATGGAGCAGTCCCCATGATTTGACAATCAGTGAGTCCGTTCTTTCCTCCATCTCTGTCAGTAATAGTGATCATGGCCACAGCCGTGCCTCTTTCAGCATCTTCCTTCACAGGACTCATCATTGAAGTCACAGAAATCTCCGGAGCATTATCATTCACATCTATGACCTCGACTAAGACTTTCCCATGGGCAATGCGCGGAGGTGTGCCTTTGTCACGCACCTGCACGCGGATCTCAAAGGCCTGGTTCAACTCGTAATCAATGTTTCCCTTAACTGCAATTTCACCAGTGTTTTCATTAATAGTGAAAGTTACATCTGGTTTAAACGGCCCTCGTTCTGCAAAGGCGTAGACAAGCTGACTATTGACGCCTTCATCTACATCTGTCGCTGTCAGTGTTAACACCTTTGTTCCAATAACTGCATTTTCAACAACCTGCGCTTTGTAAAGACTTTTACTGAAAACAGGAGAATTATCATTCACATCCAACACAATGATTTTGATCTGGACTGTTCCAGTGTTAGGCTGTCGTGCTCCATCTAAAGCCGACAACGTGAGGTCAATGACGGACTGTTTTTCTCGGTCCAGTGGTTTCTGCAGCACAAGTTCTGCAGTAACCCTTTTGTCTCCAGTTTGCACATCCAAAGAGAAAAACTCGTTTGGACTTAATTTATAAGACTTTACTGAATTACTTCCTTCGTCTGCGTCATGCGCCAGAGGCAGAGGATGCCTTTCACCAATATATGATGATTCGTACATGTCTATTTTATATTCGTGTTCCATAAAATACGGAACATTATCATTTATATCAATAATAACGACCTCAATCCTGTATACCCCGTGAGGATTGTTCACAATTGCTTCTACATTCAAAACGCACCTCGCTGCATTGGGACAAAGCTCTTCTCTGTCTATTCTTTCTTTGACAACAATAACTCCGCTTTTCCTGTTTATTTCCAAATACTCTTTATCATGAGCCGAGGTGATGCGCAGCCCTGTTGTTTCTAGTTGGTGTAAATTCAGTTTTAAATCCTTGGTGATGTTTCCAACCGTGGTGCCTTTCTCCGCTTCCTCTGAAATGGAATAAGAGGTCTGTGCAGCAGAACCTTTGCACAGACAAAGCAGAGAGACACAGAGCGTCCACACAGAAGTCCACTGTCCTCGATCTGCCATTGTGGGAAATCAAAGTTATAATCCAAGAGTTGTGTCCAGTTTCATGTCGTTCAGAAAATAAATATCTCCATTTAGGGTCAGTTCTGTCTCAGATACTTGAACAAATGCGTCCGTGCGCTGTTCCACAAAGAAGAACAACCCGATTATGACAAGGATGGGCTCTGGGGGCGGGGACTGCGGGACGTCACTCATTATTTTTGTCATGGTCTCTAGCGACATCTAGTGTTTAAACACAGTGGGTTACAGACAATTATAAGTGCACCGAGGAAAATACTTCTTTGAGTATTTCAATCTGAGTTTTAAAGGACACAAAAATCATATGTACACGGATACATATTTTCAAGAAGGAGCTCAAACCTCACCAGGAAAATTAACCAAGAAGAAAACTATTCAAAACAATGTATAAATATTGAGAAAGTCCATATTAAAGACAGTTGTTTATGGACAATATAAAAAGTATATTTCCACTATCGCCCTTGTCTGCACTGAAGTAGGCGAGTTTCAGCACCATGGAAAGTAGATGGTGCTAAAGGAGATATAATAGGAACCGTTTTTTAAAATATCTTTTACTACTCATTATTCTATCCCACTTTTAATAACTACACCAGAGTTACAGAGAGAAGCAAGACCACTATAGACAATATTATAAAAAACATCCAAAACACTGGATGCAAGTCAGGTGTAATAATCTGATATCTCTGATCATTACCCTGTTGCTCTGTTCACTAACTGGATCAATAGAGTACCAGATTCATGTTCAGAGAGGAACATAAAAGTTCTAAATAGCAAAACCCTGGTTAATCTCTCTCTACTCTTCAAAAATAAATGTTGGGATGAATTTTATAACATTTCAAATCCCAACAATGCCTATAATTCCTTTATAAAGGAAATCAATGATTCCATCAATGTAACCATTCCAGAGAAAACTCTAAATCTAAAAAACGGCATCCATGGATTACAAATGGAATCTTAAAGTCAATCCGGCAAAAAAATAATCTCTGTAAAGCATGTTAAAAAAACAATTTTGTACGAATAAAGACTGATATACAAAATTCAAGAATAAATTATCAAGTGTCATACGAGTTGTAAGAGCTATTTAGGGTTTTAGTTTTTCTGTGTGAATGTGACTAGTACATGCACGTGCATATAGTGTCATGCACGGCTGCACTGTGAGTGTGGATGTCTATTTAGTGCACACGCTCACTTCAGGTGTGTGTGTGTGAGTGTGTGTGCCTGCCTGTGTTATGGCGGTGGGGTGAGCTCAGAACTTTCTGTTGGCCGCATGTTTCCATTAATCAAATATCTGCACCGTCTTAATGAGGTATCTTCATCATACATAGCAACGTTCCCAGTAAGGGCCTGATCCATTTCTACTCTCCGCAATAAACTTCATAATACTGTGCAATTTCTCAGACTGCGCGTCATCAGTGTCTGCTCCCTTATTTAGCCTGCCGTGGCGTCATGGATTAAGTTTTGCCCTCCCATACAACACTATACAAGTCAGTAAAGCTAATTATTTTGCAAAGCGACTTAAACCAGTCTCAGGGGATCAGAAGGAGTCTTGGAAGGTGCTTAATGAGGTACTCCGCAGCAATAATAAAGCACCAGTCCTCCCTGACGCCGGAGTATCAACTGAGTCCAAAAGTAATACCAAGAATGACTCTTTGCCCAATATTTTTAATTCATTCTTTTCATCAGTCGGAAGAAAGCTGTCTTAACAAATCTTCCCACCAGTGCGTGTAATTTATAAGATTCTTTTGACAAACAATTACTCTAGCTCCTGCTACCTCAGACCTACCTGCAAAATGGAAGTAACCAATATAACAAATAAAATGAAATGTTCATATACGGCTGGTGCAGATGGCATTTGCAGCAAAATCCTGAAAGCCATTGTGAATGAGGTAGCTGAACCTGTGACTCATATAATAATCTATCTTTACAACAAGGCATTGTCCCTAAACAAACTAAGGTGGTTAAAATAATACCTATATATAAGTCTGGGGACCAAAATGACATACACAACTATATCTTTTCTGCCCACCCTGTCCAAAATATTAGAAAGAGTGGTGTATGAAAGATTAATAGATTATTTAAACAAACATAACATACTGGATCCTTCACAATATGGCGTCAGGAAAAGCAGCAGCACGTGTATGGCCATATCAGATCTTGTTGAAAAAAATCAACAATGCTCTTAAGGCAGAGAAATTGGTATTGGGGTTTTTCTTGACCTTTCCAAAGCATTTGGCTTGGCCGATTTTCAAGTCTTACTTGGTAAACTCTCTCACTATGGGGTCAGGGGTGTAGCTCTAGTGGTTTAGGGACAATATCTATGGAAGACAACAATATGTGAACATAGATAGGGCTGACTCTCAACTGGAAAACATAACATTTGGTGTTCCCCAGGGATCTATACTAGGGCCTCTTTTGTTTATTATCTACATGAATGATTTAGGTAATTCTTGTGATATTCATCGAATACTTTTGGCAGATGACAAAAATTTGTTTATGTTGCATAAACGCATGGATTACCTTGAAAACTCCTTAAATGTGCAACGAATCAAAGTAAATTCTGATGCAATAAATTGTGACTTAAAGCTGCACTAACTCATTTTGTGACATTTTCGAATGTGACCGCTGGCCTCGCACTTTCTGCACCCAGCCTAATTGCTAATTGTTTACGGAGCTCACGTCTCACAATATGGATTGCACATTTGAACGTGGATGACGTGACCATAGAATGATAGAACCGGGAAGCGCGGAGGAACAATACTTTCTTTTGGATGGCTGTTTTGCCGTGACCGTAGCCGTAATGAAGACACAGGAAGTTTCAGGTTAGCCTCTGCAGCTCGTTTACCTCAGCTGTCTGTGAGCTCTAACAAGAGACCTGTATCTTTTCTCAAGAAAGTGGGGGCCAGTGGTCCGCTGTGATTGGTCACAATCTGGTCCTGAAACAAACTCTCTTCCTTGTTGCACATAAACTCGATCTAAAATAAAATGACAAGCCAGCACAGACCAGCACTACTTATTCTTCAGAAGGACGTACAGTATATTCCAATGCATTGCATGGATATGGATTGAATTTTTGTTGTGAATACAAAAATAAAGTGAGGTAATGCAATTTTAATCTCATAAAGACTTCTCTTGTGATCTTTCACTCAAACAGTCATCTGCACCACAACCCAACTATTCAAATAACCATAAATAGTAAAACCGTTAATAAAGTTGAAGTTATAACATTCTTAGGAATCCATATAGATAAATTTACACATTTTAAAAAGCGTCTTTATGAGCTTCTTAAAAAATGTCAAAAATGTTAGGTTTATTGTTTAAAGTGGGAAAGTTTCTTCCCCTAGAAGCTTTGTATAGATCTCTGTTTGAGCCTCATTTGAATTATTGTAATGTCATAATGGAATAATACTTACCCCAAGGCACATGTCTAAACTTCAAATATTACAAAAGAAAGCCATAAGAGCAATGGCCCTCGGGTCATACTCCCACAGATGTTCTCTTCCATAGATATGGTCTATTGAAGCTGCCTGAAGTTAATCTCTATCATAATGCGTGCACAATGTATAGTGTGGTTAATAAGTTAAATGTTAGATTGTGTGAACTCATTCCATTATATTTACCTTCACATCAACATAATACAAGGAACAAACTGACTTAAGGGAAATACAGAAAATTAAAATGCACAAGTTTTAGTATTTGTCACAAAGGCTCAAATATATGGAATGAGTTGGGTAGTAACTTAAAGCAATATGCCACATTATCCAAATTTAAGAGGAAACTGAAGGCTCATCTTCTGGGGAAGTATGTGACTGGATGAAAGCGTTGAAGCACTAAAGGTTTTGAAAACTCTGTATTTGGATCTGTTTGAGGCGAGAGGTATATCTCTCTCTCTTTCACAGCCATGATCTCAGGGTTGGCAGAACTTACCCTACTATAGTAGTAAACTCCAGCTGCGAACACTTTCAATTACATATTAGGAATACATTAAATTTTATACTTATTATCATTATTAGATTATTATTATTGGTAGTGGAGATGAGCATTCAGTAGCTCCGCCTGCCCAAGCGTTTTGTACTTCCTTAAAATGTGATGAAGATGTATTATTTATTATTAATTATCTGTTATTTCTATTTGTTTTGTATTATTGCATAATTGTTATCGTTATTGTTATTGTTATCGTTCTTAAAATTTGTGGGGGTGGTGGTGGTGTGATGGATCCCTAATATATAAGTTGCTATTTGTGCTTCTGGGAGTTCCATTTTCACAATGTAGCACATGTACTTTTAGGGACAGTGTGAAATTGTGAATAAACTAAACTAAACTAAAGTATGTAGGGTTGAAAATTGTGTTTCAAAATGAAAGCAAGATATGCATTGTTGTTAAATGTCCTATATTAATGAGTAAATAAGATTAATTTCAAATCTGGAAAACACAATTTCCCATGTCTATTATCATGCTCTTTAGGACCACAGCAAATTTCTTTAGGGGTTCATATAAATACGAGCTGTAATAACTAAAACGCATTGTTTCTATAACAATATAACCAGCTATGTGCCAAAAAATACAAGTCACTTACTTATTATTGAGTTAGAACATGTTTTTTATAAACTCACTAGGAACTGAAAGCAATCAGCACCTTGGACAGCAGACAATATCGACCACATGAATGTCTTTTTAAATTTAAAAACGTTGTGAAGTACAAAACATTGACATAAAAGTGTGACTCTGAATGTTTGATAATGACCACTGCCCTCATCGTTTGCAGCACAATTATAAAAAATGTGTAACACACAAGTCAAATTAGAAATGTTTTATTATATTACAGGCCTACCTTGTCTGTAGTGGGTAAAGTCTGCGTCCTGGAGAACGTGTCTCCTCCGTTAATACTGATGAGTTCTCCATCTACAGGAGGAAACGCTGCGGGGAAAACCACTACGTCGCTCTTGAGCGTGTCTGAGCTGAAGCACACGTCATACTGCTGAGTGGATTTGGAGTAGGACCAGCTCCCGTCAGGGTGGGTGGTGATCATGGGGGCGCTGTACCTGCTGAAAGAGCTCTCTGTCCTGTGACATCTGACTGCTATTAACGTGATGAGGCTGAGCAGAAAGATGACTGACACCGCCACAATGGCGATGAGCAGGTACAGGTTTAAATCCGAGAAGCTGTCCTCCTTTATGGGCACATGTCTGAACTGAGTCTGAATGTCCGCTGTGCTCTCCACCACCACTACATCAATAGACACAGTGGCGGACAGGGAGGGCTCTCCGCTGTCACACACCAGCACCACCAAGGGGTGACTTTTCAGGTCATTGTCACTCATCCTCCTCTTGGTGCGGATCTCTCCGGTGCTGGTCCCGATGCGGAACAGGTTGTTCCCTTTGGGCTCAGACAGGTGATAAGAAAGCAGCGCGTTGTAGCCAGAGTCTGCGTCTACAGCCCTGATCTTTGCCACAAAGTAGCCCGCTTCAGCGGAGTAGGGGATGCTCTCACTGTTAACGGAGCCGTGCTCAGAATAAGGTGCCAGGATTGTGGGACTATTGTCATTTTCATCCAGAACAAACACGTTCACAGTCACGTTACTGGTGAGCGGAGGGACACCAGAGTCTGTGGCCTGCACCTTAAACTGGAACGTTTTGATCTCCTCAAAGTTAAACGTCTGCAGCGTCACTATCTCTCCTGTCTCTGAGTTAATATTAACGATGGATGAAGTGGGAATGTTCTTTTTATCACTATCTAACAAACTGTAAGATATTCTAGCGTTGTCAATCGAGTCTAAATCTGCCGCCGTGAGCGTGTGGATGAGAGCGCCCATCTGACTGTTCTCTTTCACGTAAACATTGATCACAGCTTCCTGAAAGTGAGGCGGGTTGTCGTTAACATCCGCCACTGTGACGTGAATGACACTGACACTGGACAGTGATGGTGTCCCTTCGTCTGCGGCTGAAACTGATATGTTATAGTCAGACACAGTCTCTCTGTCCAGGGGACCATCCACTAACAAGGAATAATAGTTTTTATAGTTGCGTTTTAATTTGAATGGAGCAGTCCCCATGATTTGACAATCAGTCAGTCCGTTCTTTCCTCCATCTCTGTCAGTAATAGTGATCATGGCCACAGCCGTGCCTCTTTCAGCATCTTCCTTCACAGGACTCATCATTGAAGTCACAGAAATCTCCGGAACATTGTCATTCACATCTATGACCTCGACTAAGACTTTCCCATGGGCAATGCGCGGAGGCGTGCCTTTGTCACGCACCTGCACGCGGATCTCAAAGGCCTGGTTTGACTCGTAATCAATGTTTCCTTTAACTGTAATTTCACCAGTGTTTACATCCATTGCAAAATTGTCTTCGAGGTTAAATCTCTCACTTTCTGAAAAGGCGTAGACAAGCTGACTATTGACGCCTTCATCTACATCTGTCGCAGTCAGTGTCAACACATTTGTTCCAATAACTGCATTTTCAACAACCTGCGCTTTGTAAAGACTTTTACTGAAAACAGGAGAATTATCATTCACATCCAACACAATGATTTTGATCTGGACTGTTCCAGTGTTAGGCGGTCGTGCTCCATCTAAAGCCGACAACGTGAGGTCAATGACGGACTGTTTTTCTCGGTCCAGTGGTTTCTGCAGCACAAGTTCTGCAGTGACGCTTTCATCTCCAGTGTCTTGTAAATCCAATGAGAAATACTCGTTTGGACTTAATTTATAAGACTTTACAGAATTACTGCCTTCGTCTGCGTCATGAGCAGCGGGTAGAGGATGTTTGTCGCCAATATATGAGATCTCTGACATCCTTATAGTATACGTACCTTGTCTAAATTTTGGAACATTATCATTTATATCAATAATAACGACCTCAATCCTGTATACACCATGCGGATTATTCACAAGTACTTCCACATTCAAAACGCACCTCGCTGCATTGGGACAAAGCTCTTCTCTGTCTATTCTTTCTTTGACAACAATAACTCCGCTTTTCCTGTTTATTTCGAAATACTCTTTATCATGAGCCGAGGTGATGCGCAGCCCTGTTGTTTCTAGTTGGTGTAAATTCAGTTTTAAATCCTTGGTGATGTTTCCAACCGTGGTGCCTTTCTCCGCTTCCTCTGAAATGGAATAAGAGGTCTGTGCAGCAGAACCTTTGCACAGACAAAGCAGAGAAACACAAAGCGTCCACACAGAAGTCCACTGTCCTCGATCTGCCATTGTGGGAAATCAAAGTTATAATCCAAGAGTTGTGTCCAGTTTCATGTCGTTCAGAAAATAAATATCTCCATTTAGGGTCAGTTCTGTCTCAGATACTTGAACAAATGCGTCCGTGCACTGTTCCACAAAGAACAACCCGATTATGACAAGGTTGGGCTCTGGGGGCGGGGACTGCGGGACGTCACTCATTATTTTTGTCATGGTCTCTAGTGACATCTAGTGTTCTGACCAGAGTACAACAATGTTAAAGACCTTGCAAATATATATTATGATGTTGAACGCCTCAAAACAGTGTAGAACCATTGATAATGCCAAAAATAGTGTAGTGTTCTTTTGTAAATCACGCTTATAACTTTTCAGAACCACGGACAGCGCAAATGGCTTTTACCCAGAATATGAAATAAAATTACAAATTATGAGTCATTCCATGACCATGAACAAGTTTAGTTCCATTGCCACTTTTCCCATGCATCTATTTTGTAGCCTCTGTTACATCTTTAGAACAGCGTTTTCACACAGACATTTTAAATAGAGAGGAACATTTTTTCACTTTTCAGACTTAAGTGTCAACTATATGAACACAGTTGTTTCTTCTAGGCCTTGGCAAAAGATGTGTTTCTACTACGATAATGCATGTTGTGGTTTAATTTATATATCTATTATACTTTTCCAATATTCTGGACAAAAAAATGTTGATTAAATAAAAGTTGGGTTCCAAAACGTACAGTTTTATATAGAATGCTCATTCAAAATAATTATGTCTTATGATTATTTGCATAAACAGAAAAAATCACAAGGAGGTCTCCAAAGAAAGATTTAGCAGAGAGGAAAGTAAAGTATAATTTATACTCTAAGGCAGCTATATGGTTTTCAGTGCTTTTCTTCAGAGGTCCGGGATGGTTTACAGTAAAAACCAAACAAATAAAAACAAGAAAAAGTGTGTTTTGTGTAACATTTAAAATGTAAAAAATACTGGGAGGATTGAATTATAAGTATATCCCATTTAAGAACGGTCTGTTCGTGTGAATCTACATGTTCTGTTATGATTAAAAGTGCTTCAGTTCCAATATTACATTATTACACTCCTCAACGAGTTCTATATTATAGCAACAACAAAAAAGCAGCAGCTTGTAATATTTTTAAGTATAAATAAATGCTACGTGTGAAAAAATACAAGCAAGGTACTACATATGAATTGAATTTCTTAAAAAACAGTAAACGGCATTATTTTTATTACGTTAATATAACTCTTATGGACTTACCATCATGTCAACAAAACCTATAGTTTAATAACTTCATCAAACAAAACCATTTTTTAATGTTTATTTAAAGGCCCAAGCCTACCTTGTCTGTAGTGGGTAAAGTCTGCGTCCTGGAGAACGTGTCTCCTCCGTTAATACTGATGAGTTCTCCATCTACAGGAGGAAACGCTGCGGGGAAAACCACTACGTCGCTCTTGAGCGTGTCTGAGCTGAAGCACACGTCATACTGCTGAGTGGATTTGGAGTGGGACCAGCTCCCGTCAGGGTGGGTGGTGATCATGGGGGCGCTGTACCTGCTGAAAGAGCTCTCTGTCCTGTGACATCTGACTGCTATTAACGTGATGAGGCTGAGCAGAAAGATGACTGACACCGCCACAATGGCGATGAGCAGGTACACGTTTAAATCCGAGAAGCTGTCCTCCTTTATGGGCACATGTCTGAACTGAGTCTGAATGTCCGCTGTGCTCTCCACCACCACTACATCAATAGACACAGTGGCGGACAGGGAGGGCTCTCCGCTGTCACACACCAGCACCACCAAGGGGTGACTTTTCAGGTCATTGTCACTCATCCTCCTCTTGGTGCGGATCTCTCCGGTGCTGGTCCCGATGCGGAACAGGTTGTTCCCTTTGGGCTCAGACAGGTGATAAGAAAGCAGCGCGTTGTAGCCAGAGTCTGCGTCTACAGCCCTGATCTTTGCCACAAAGTAGCCCGCTTCAGCGGAGTAGGGGATGCTCTCACTGTTAACGGAGCCGTGCTCAGAATAAGGTGCCAGGATTGTGGGACTATTGTCATTTTCATCCAGAACAAACACGTTCACAGTCACGTTACTGCTGAGCGGAGGGACACCAGAGTCTGTGGCCTGCACCTTAAACTGGAACATTTTGAGCTCCTCAAAGTTAAACGTCTGCAGCGTCACTATCTCTCCTGTCTCTGAGTTAATATTAACAACAGATGAAGTGGGAATGCTCTTTTTATCACTATTCATCAAACTGTAAGATATTCTAGCATTGTCCATCGAGTCTAAATCTGCCGCCGTGAGCGTGTGGATGAGAGCGCCCATCTGACCGTTCTCTTTCACGTAAACATTGATCACAGCTTCCTGAAAGTGAGGCGGGTTGTCGTTAACATCCGCCACTGTGACGTGAATGACACTGACACTGGACAGTGATGGTGTCCCTTCGTCTGCGGCTGAAACTGAAATGTTATAGTCAGACACAGTCTCTCTGTCCAGGGGACCATCCACTAACAAGGAATAATAGTTTTTATAGTTGCGTTTTAATTTGAATGGAGCAGTCCCCATGATTTGACAATCAGTCAGTCCGTTCTTTCCTCCATCTCTGTCAGTAATAGTGATCATGGCCACAGCCGTGCCTCTTTCAGCATCTTCCTTCACAGGACTCATCATTGAAGTCACAGAAATCTCCGGAGCATTATCATTCACATCTATGACTTCGACTAAGACTTTCCCATGGGCAATGCGCGGAGGTGTGCCTTTGTCACGCACCTGCACGCGGATCTCAAAGGCCTGGTTCAACTCGTAATCAATGTTTCCCTTAACTGTAATTTCACCAGAGTTCATATCCATCGCAAACTTCTCTCTGGGGTTAAATCTCTCACTTTCTGCAAAGGCGTAGACAAGCTGACTATTGACGCCTTCATCTACATCTGTCGCTGTCAGTGTTAACACATTTGCTCCAATAACTGCATTTTCAACAACCTGCACTTTATAGAGACTTTTACTGAAAACAGGAGAATTATCATTCACATCCAACACAATGATTTTGATCTGGACTGGTCCAGTTTTAGGCGGTCGTGCTCCATCTAAAGCCGACAACGTGAGGTCAATGACGGACTGTTTTTCTCGGTCCAGTGGTTTCTGCAGCACAAGTTCTGCAGTGACGCTTTCATCTCCAGTGTCTTGTAAATCCAATGAGAAATACTCGTTTGGACTTAATTTATAAGACTTTACAGAATTACTACCTTCGTCTGCGTCATGAGCAGCGGGTAGAGGATGTCTGTCCCCAATATATGAGGATTCAATCATTTCAAATGTGTACACTTCTTTTAGAAATTTTGGGTAATTGTCATTTATATCAATAATAACGACTTCAATCCTGAATAAACCGCGAGGATTGTTCACCATTGCTTCTACATTCAAAACACACCTCGCTGCATTGGGACAAAGCTCTTCTCTGTCTATTCTTTCTTTGACAACAATAACTCCGCTTTTCCTGTTTATTTCGAAATACTCTTTATCATGAGCCGAGGTGATGCGTAGCCCTGTTGTTTCTAGTTGGTGTAAATTCAGTTTTAAATCCTTGGTGATGTTTCCAACCGTGGTGCCTTTCTCCGCTTCCTCTGAAATGGAATAAGAGATCTGTGCAGCAGAACCTTTGCACAGACAAAGCAGAGAAACACAGAGCGTCCACACAGAAGTCCACTGTCCTCGATCTGCCATTGTGGAAAATCAAAGTTATAATCCAAGAGTTGTATCCAGTTTTATGTCGTTCAAAAAATAGATATCTCCATTTAGGGTCAGTTCTGTCTCAGATACTGGAACAAATGCGTCCGTGCGCTGTTCCACAAAGAAGAACAACCCGATTATGAGAAGGATGGGCTCTGGGGGCGGGGACAGCGGAACGTCACTCAATATTTTTGTCATGGTCTCTAGCGACATCTAGTGTTCAAACACAGTGGGTTACAGACAATTTTAAGTCGTTCCGAGGAAGACACTATTTATCCCAAGTTTTTTAACCTGATTTATTTGTCTTCGGATAATACCATTTCAGACGCAGGTCTCAAACAGAAATTACACAATTTTTTTCTAATATAGAGGGAAATGTTCTTCGTAATGACTACTATTGAGTTTTTCAATCTAAGTTTTAAGGGACGCAATCAGAAGGTGTAGACAGGGAAATATTTTCAAGAAGGAGATCAAACCCTACCAAAAAAGTAAATGTGAAAAAACTGTTCAAAACAATGTATAAATATTGTGAAAGTCTATATTAAAGACAGGTGTTCATGGACAATATAAAAAGTATATTTCCACTATCGCCCATGTATGGAGTAAAGTGGCAAGTTTCAGCACCATGGAAAGCATCTAGTGATTGAAAATCACATGTCTTCACAATCAAATATACATATCATTCCTATTTCAGATGTAATATTTCACATTGACATATTTTCACATGTCTGGTTGTTCTGCTAATCAAAATAGAATATGATGCAGTTATTTAAAACAGAAAAGTCACAAATTTAAAAAAGGGTTTAAAGGAAGGAAAAATGAAAGCAAGGTTTGCATTGTTGTTAAATATCCTATATTAATTAGTTAGTGAGATTTATTTTAATCCTGTAGAACACTATTTCCCATGTCTATTTCCATGCTCTTCAGAACCACGGCAAATTATCTTGAGTTAGTGGTGTAATAACTAAGACACAATGTTTCAAAAGCAATATAATCACCTATGTGTCAATGACTCAATCTGTGTAGTGAATTTAATTATTTATTATTGAGTTGGAACGTTTTTTTTATCAATTTTTTTCAATTCAACAATGTGGTTAATTAAGAAAAAATGAAATAAAAGTGTTACTTTCAATGTTTAATAATGACCACTGTCCTCATCATTTGCAGCAAAAAAACTTTTTTTTCGTTTTTTTTTAGCACAAAATTTAAATTAGAGATATTTTATTGTAATGTAGGCCTACCTTATCCGTAGTTGGTAAAGTCTGGGTCCTGGAGAACGTGTCTCCTCCGTTAATACTGATGAGTTCTCCATCTACAGGAGGAAACGCTGCGGGGAAAACCACTACGTCGCTCTTGAGCGTGTCTGAGCTGAAGCACACGTCATACTGCTGAGTGGATTTGGAGTAGGACCAGCTCCCGTCAGGGTGGGTGGTGATCATGGGGGCGCTGTACCTGCTGAAAGAGCTCTCTGTCCTGTGACATCTGACTGCTATTAACGTGATGAGGCTGAGCAGAAAGATGACTGACACCGCCACAATGGCGATGAGCAGGTACAGGTTTAAATCCGAGAAGCTGTCCTCCTTTATGGGCACATGTCTGAACTGAGTCTGAATGTCCGCTGTGCTCTCCACCACCACTACATCAATAGACACAGTGGCGGACAGGGAGGGCTCTCCGCTGTCACACACCAGCACCACCAAGGGGTGACTTTTCAGGTCATTGTCACTCATCCTCCTCTTGGTGCGGATCTCTCCGGTGCTGGTCCCGATGCGGAACAGGTTGTTCCCTTTGGGCTCAGACAGGTGATAAGAAAGCAGCGCGTTGTAGCCAGAGTCTGCGTCTACAGCCCTGATCTTTGCCACAAAGTAGCCCGCTTCAGCGGAGTAGGGGATGCTCTCACTGTTAACGGAGCCGTGCTCAGAATAAGGCGCCAGGATTGTGGGACTATTGTCATTTTCATCCAGAACAAACACGTTCACAGTCACGTTACTGCTGAGCGGAGGGACACCAGAGTCTGTGGCCTGCACCTTAAACTGGAACGTTTTGATCTCCTCAAAGTTAAATGTCTGCAGCGTCACTATCTCTCCTGTCTCTTGGTTAATGTTCACCATTGTGGGCAGATGCAGAGACTCACTGAGATGTTTTAACAGTGAATACGTAACGCGGCTGTTTTGCTCTGCGTCCTTGTCAGCGGCTGTTACTGTGTGAATGACTGATCCCACTGCACTGTTCTCGTTTACATAAACATTCACCACACTTTCTGTGAACACGGGACTGTTATCATTGACATCTGACACGCGCACAGACAGGAGGCTCGTGCTGGACAGAGGGGGGCTGCCTTCATCAACTGCACTGATGCTAATATTATACTGAGAGGTGTTCTCTCTGTCCAGGGGGCCGTTCACCACAAGGGAGTAATAATTCTTATAATTAGTTTCAAGTTTAAATGGCACATTGTTGTTTATACGACAATGAACCTGCCCATTTTTACCTCCGTCTTTATCAGCGACTGAAACCAATGCAATCGCCGTGCCCATAGATTCATCTTCTCTCACCGTGTTCTTCAGGGACGTGAGCGTGATTTCAGGCGCGTTGTCGTTTATGTCTAATACTTCAATCAGTAATTTAGCGTGAGATGTCAGAGGAGATGTTGTCCCGTCGTTGGCCTGGACTCTGATCTCAAATGCACTATTCTCCTCAAAGTCCAATCTAATCTTGTTGATCACAATTCCAGTTCTTTCATCTATTGAAAACATGTCGCTGTTTTTTCCTCGACCCGTTTTACTAAAGGAATACAATATTTCTCCATATTGACCTTCGTCCAAGTCTGTTGCATTTAGAGTGATTATAGACGTTCCTATTTTAATGTTTTCATACACTGACGCTTTGTACAGACTTTGGTTAAAAACAGGAGCATTGTCATTGGCATCCAGCACATTTATTTTTATTTCCATTGTTCCAGATTTCGCAGGTGTTCCTCCATCAACAGCCACGAGTGTCAGTGAGATTACAGACTCCTTTTCTCTGTCTAACACCCTCTGCAGCTGTAATTCTGGAGTTATACTTTCCCCTTTCTGAATCGCAAGAGAGAAATATTCATTATGGCTGAGTCGATATGAGTTAATGCCATTTTTCCCCACATCTGCGTCATTTGCTGGTTGAAGAGGGTATCTAGTTCCAGCAGCGGTGCTTTCGGTTATGTCAATCTCTTCATTTGTAGCCTGAAATAACGGTGCATTGTCATTCACGTCTAAAATTGTGACTTCTATTCGGTAAAATTTTAACGGGTTGTTGAGAACAGCTTCTATAGTGAGGGAGCATTTTGCCTCCTCTCCGCACAGCGCTTCACGGTCAATTCTCTCTTTGACGAGTAGGGAACCAGTCTTAAGATTGAGCTCAAAATAGGTCCGTTTTTGTTGAGAGACAATCTGAAAAGTACGCGACTGCAATTCTTGTACGCTCAGAGTCAAATCTTTGGCAATATTTCCAACAAAAGTTCCGATGTTCACCTCCTCCAGAACCGAGTATGAGAGCTGACCAAAGACTGATATCCAGTAATAATCCAACAACACGAACCAGAGAGAAATTCTCACGGACCTGAACATGGCAACGGAATGCATATTCGCAGAAGCGGGCCACACTGGGAGCACAACGCAAGATCCTCACTACTAAAATAATAGTGATAAAAAAAAAAAAAATACAGACATAAACGAGCGTATTCGGAGTAGATGGACACACCTTTGTCCCCGGATAAGAAGTGACAAAGCCAGCAGACTGATTTGCTTTTGGAATAATGGGAGGAGCATTGCGGCCTGGAAATAAGCCGTGGTCAATACTGCCCTCGTGTGGACAGTTTATGTACTCAAACTGAGACTATACTCGAGCAGTGTAAAGTACGTTTGCAGCTTCGTGTCGTGGTTCGATTTTGAGGCAATCAAGATATGAAATAAATAATACAACGACAGTCAATGAATACAACACATATTAAAACCCTGAACCCTGAACACACATCCTGTTTTGAATGTAGAATACCCGTAGATTATACATACAATTGTGAAAAAGGGGCTGATTGTAAAGGTGTGTAACAGCCCTGCAACCATTTCAACCAATCAGTGTTCACCTCCCCAAACTTCTCCATCAATCACACGACTCCCTTCAATTTTGGTTAGTCTTCTCACATATTGTGAGTTACATAATTATTCATTCCTTGTGGGTCTTTGCTGAAGTTTCAAGACAATTTTCACTTTCATTGTGGTATTCACGTAACCATCATCATGTCTGTGTGTACATCATGGTCATCATCATTAAAAATCGAACCACACCATCACATCTTGTATCTATCTGTTTATTAAACTAAAATAATTAGATTATGTAAACGTTTTCCAGCTCATTTCCCCGAATTAGTTCAGTTCAACTTACAGAACAATGATGCGTTCACGGCAGGGCCGGAGTGGGACAACATTTCAGGCCGGGAGCTTTTCATCCATTCAGGCCAAACAAGGTTCTAAATTTGGGTTTTTGTCATTGTATTTTGATGTTCTTTTAATAGTTTTAAGATTGACTGTCAAAACTTTTGTTTTCTTTATTTCTTTTTATATTGACTGTTTATATAATCTCGGACGTTTAAAGATTGTTGTACGTTGCTTAGCAACGTAACGTTTATGGAGTTTAGTGAGAATAAAGACACACACACACACACACAATGAACTAAGTGTTCATTATCCATCCATCCATCCATTTTCTACCCTTTAATCCATTTCTGGGTCAGGGGGGTGACAGTCAGAGATGCCACCCAAGTCTCATAGGACCAGCCCCTCACTGACCCTCTGCAGGTGGTGAGTCCACAGGAGGACGGCTGCTCTCTGAGTGTGAGCATAGCCTTGATCTTTCAGTGGGGGCTTTGGGCAAAGTGGGGTTAAGTGTCTTGCCCAAGGACACAACGACAGCAGTCATCAGTGGGAGTCGGTGGAGAAGGTGCAGAGGTGTTGAACCTCTGTTCAACACCTCATCACTAATGAACACTAAGTGTTCATTAGTGTATAACTATAACAAGCTAATCAATTATTGTTAAAAAAGTAGTAAGGTAAAATCACATCGTTACAGCTCATATAAAAGGAAAAATAACAACGTGTATGAACCATCAGTTGGAGAGACCACTCATTTCAACCGGGGAAGCTACACTGGGTGCACTGCTAGGCTGGCCTGGCTGTGTAGCCGACGTGTGACGTCACATTTGTTTAATTTTGCTCTGGCCCAATGACAGTAAAGCTTTGGCCAGTGTTGTGCCAGTTCACAGCTTTTCTGAACAAGTTCAAGTTCAGTTCATACATGCTCAAAGTGAACAGTTCACGTTCGAAGTTCTCAATTTTAATTCTGAACTAGTTCAAAGTTCAGTTCATTTTACTTTTTGCGAGATATTCAAATAAATATTTTTTTTCACTACGAGCTAGAAATCACAATACGTGGTATATATATATATATATATATATATATATATATATATATATATATATATATATATATATATATATATATATATATATATATATATATATATATATATATATATATATTATATCCTGTACACTGCACAGGATGTTTTGACTCCAATGCAGACAAGATTTACATGGGTTTCAATGGGAACTGAGTTGTCCCATCTCTGCTCATAAGTACAAACTGTAATGCACTGCAGAACGCGTGTCTATACTTTATGTCAAATGTAAACGGCCCTGTGTCACTGACTTACCCCTGTGTTTTCATCACGGCACATGTGAGTCCAACAACCAATGAATAGCACTAGCGCCGCACCGCAAGTACTCTGAGTCGGGGTGCGTTCACAGACGGTGGAAACCGTAGGAATTTTTAGTTTTCGGCGGAAACAGTGCGGAGAATACAGGAGGGAGGAACTTTCTCTCGTTGCGTTTCAAAAGAGAAAACAGATTTCACTCAGTTTTAAATGGAAAACAAATTGTCTGCCGTTCATGACACATAATATGAACTAATTCACGTTCAAGTTATTTATTAAAAAATGTGTTCAACGTTTCACAAAAAAATGAGCGTGTTCAATGAACGCGTTCTTTTGAACTCGTTCACGCACAACACTGCCTTTGGCCTGGGCCTTGCTCATTGGACCAGGCCACCAGGCAGGGTAGGAGTTTGCAAAGACCGTGAGGATAAAATTAAATTAAAAGAAAGAAGAAAAAAAATAAAAGAAAAAAAGACCGTGATGATAGGGCAGGCCCAGGCCACTTTGACACGCAGGCCACCGGGAGATCTCCCGATGCTCCCGATGGCCAGTCCGTGCCTGGTTCACGGCAGTTTACGACTGTGATGTGTTCAAAGACGCTGTGGTCATTTTACTTTTTTTTGCAAAAAAGTGCCACACATTCTTTGTATAAATGTAAATAGTTTACATTTTCCTGAGCAATGCAGTGGATGGTTTACATTTTGTATTTGTATAGGCTATTTATTATACAATTAGCTATTTTGACATTGTCGTTCTACTTCATAGTGCTACGCCCCTTAGGCTCGCTTTGGGTATGACTCCAGAAGCACCTAGCTTCCCGCCAGAGAGAACTCAATGCTCCAATCACTGTGCAGAACCTCCTATAAATAGCCCACAGCAGTCCATGCTCTTCACTTTGAACTCTGGCGCCATTGAGAGAAGTTCTACTCACCATTGAAGATCGCGATGTCTACTCCTCCTCGTCCGAGAACTCCTTCGCCATCCGGCGTCGGACGAAGACGGTGCGGTGGCTGCCGGACCAAGCTCCACCGCAAAGACCGGCACGAGTTCTGCTTCCTCTGCCTGGGAGCTCACCACCACCGGGAAGCGGCGACGTGTGCGGCGTGCCTTTCTCTCCCCGGGGAGGAGAGAGAGCGCCGCGCTGCTTATGCCACCTCCGCGGAGGCTCGCCCGGGTCCCTCCCAGGAGGAGGAACCTGAGGTTGAGTATGTCCCGCTCGACCTGCCTCCTGCACCCAGGGAGTGGGGAGACTGTGTTGTGGAGGAAGAGTTTGACGAGGACCGGGGTTCCTACGTCACTCTCGACGAGGCTATTTCCTTGTGCGAGGAACAAGACCGCTTCCCTCTGGACCACATGCCCCGCCTCTTCGCCACGGCAGCGGCCACCATGGAGACCCCCCTGCCTCCGCAACCCACCCAGAGAGAGAGCGACTTCACGTCGGTGGGTTCATCGCTTCCAGGGAAGAAGAGACGAGCTCCAACACTGTGTCCGCGGATGGATCCGGTTTTCCATTACGCGGCACGTGATTGGGCCAAACCCCTAGCAGCTAAGAAGCCTGCTCTGGGGTACGGCGCCTATTGCTCGGTCCAAGACTGGTCCTGGTCCAAAGGGGTCCCGGAAGTGGAGGACGCTGTCCGGCTCGCACTACTCCCGCAGTCCTCGGTGTGGCCCGGCAGCAGACCTCTCCTTCCCTCGGAGCGGGATAGGATGAGCATGGCTGTACTGGATAGATGCTACGCTAACGCAGCACAGATCGTTGCGTTAGCTAGCAATATGGCTCTTCTCACCGGGGCCCTCGATAGGTCTCTATCCACGGGTCAAGCTCTCACCGACGAGGACCTGGACCGGGCCAGAACCACCACGGCGGCCATACTCCGTATGATCCAGGCGCTGGCTATTGACGGTGGGCGATCCATGGCGTCCGCACAGGTCGGTGCCCGCCATCTGTGGCTGGGGCTCGCGGACATCAAGGAGACGGAGAAGAGGCAGCTCCTGGACCTCCCTATCTCCATGGATTCCCTCTTCGGTCCAGACATGAAGGGGCTCGTCGCGAGATTGGACGCTGCTGCCAAAGACTCCGCCATGCTGGCTCCTCATCTGCTCCCTCGCCGTGTGTCACAGCAGCAGCAGCAGCAGCAGCAGCAGCAACAACAACAGCAGCAGCCTTATCGCGGCAGAGAGAGAGTGAGAGACCGGTCACCTCGGCGACGCTCAGCTCCGCCCCCTCTTGCTCCTTGCCCGGGCCGCTACACTCCGCAGAGACCACGGGGTTCAGAGCCTTACTCCGGTGGTTTCCGTGACCAACGCTCCCACCGCCGCCCTCCCTACAGTCGGGGAGTTCGGGGGGGGAAAAAGTTTTTCAATAAACGACAAGGTGTACCGTATTCTCTGTCTGAGCATCATCTTTTTGCCATGCATGGTTTGTCATCTCAGGTAGAGGGCAGCATTGCATCACACACAGGTCTATCACCTTTGGTTACGTTGAGTCCACAGCGGCCGCATCCCTCCATACCACTTCCCACAGCGGCCAGTGTAGTGTCTGCTGGGTCAGGACCAGGTTTTGCGAGCCTCTCTCCCTTTTCTCAGCGTCTCCGGGGTAAATCCAGCACTTCATTCCCCAGGGGTGGTAATGAAAGCCTAGGTCAGGTTTTTCCCTCCGTCTCCGGGGTTCCCTCTGTTAGTGGTGTTACGCATACAGAGCAGGACGCTCCCACACACGTCTGCCCTTCAGCTCAGGCTGCTGTCATTTCATCCTCTGGGCGGGGAGTGAAACGCAGATTACCGCTGTCTATAAGTGAGTCAGGGGGCTTGGTCCCAACCTCCTCACACAGCACATCTCATGAGGTGTTTCGGCCCTTTCGATGCCCCCCCCTCTCCGCTGGGAGCGCAGGGAGAGTGGGGGGCTATTACACCAGGTGCTCCGGGTCCTCTCCTTCCCCTCACAGAGCAGTTTCGGGTCTGGGAAGAGCTCGGTCTACTGTCAGACCCCTGGTTAAAGAAAACGATGCGCAGGGGCTACGCTCTGCAGTTCGCACGGAGACCACCGCCGTTCCAGGGCATTCGTGCGGTGCGCCCTACAGATCGGGAGACAGAAGAGGCGCTCCAAATGGAGGTCGCCTCCCTGTTACGCAGAGGCGCCGCGGTCCTGGTGGACCCTCGGGACGCCTCCAGAGGCCTGTACTCCCCGTATTTCCTGGTCCCCAAGAAATCAGGGGGGGTGCGCCCTATATTGGATCTGCGCACTCTGAACCAGTGCATTTCCAAACGGCTCTTTCGGATGCTTTCCACAAAACATCTGTTAGAGTGCGTCAGGCCCGGGGACTGGATGTCAACCATAGACCTGACGGACGCTTACTTCCACGTTGCCATAGTACCGGAGCACAGACGCTTCCTGCGCTTCACCGTGGGAGGGAAGTGTTACGAGTACTGTCGCCTCCCCTTCGGTTACGCTCTGGCCCCACGCACCTTCTCCAAGTGCGTGGAGGCGGCGCTGGAACCACTCAGACGCGCAGGGATCAGAATCCTGACTTATATAGACGACTGGCTGATTCTGGCCCCGTCTCTGGAGCAGGCCACCATTCACACGCACTGGGTCCTGTCACACGTTCAGCGCCTAGGCTTTGTGGTGAACAGGGAAAAGAGCAATCTGCAACCCGCACAGCGCTTAGTCTATCTAGGTCTACAGCTAGACTCGGTGGAGTTTCGGGCAGCGCTCTCCCAGGACAGACGCTCGAGCATCACGCGTCTAGCTCAGGAAGCGCTGACCTCTCCCACAGTGACCGCCCGACGAATACGGTCTCTATTGGGGATGATGGCATCAGCTCATGCAGTGGTGCGGCTAGGTCTCCTTCATTTGAGACGTTTCCAGAGGTGGTTCTCCCGTCTCCGACTACATCCCACAAGAGACGGGGGCAGAAGGCTCATTGTTCCTCCAGGAGTGGCCGAGGACCTGAGCTACTGGCTCACGCCCGGTCTGATGCTGGAAGGAGTTCCCCTGGTCGGTGCCGTGGCACACGTGGAGGTGTTCACGGACGCGTCTCTGGAGGGATGGGGGGGGGTTCTGCACCAGAGCTCTGTGGGGGGCGCCTGGTCAGGCCCTCTTCGTCACATCAATCTGCTGGAGATGGAGGCGGTTCACAGGGTGCTTCTGCATTTCGGAGAGGCAGAACCTAGTCCGACTAGGCCTCCCCCGGGCGGTGGTGGATACCATCCAAGGGGCGAGGGCACCTTCCACCGTGAGGGCTTACGGGTGCCGGTGGAAGCTTTTCAAAGACTGGTGCGCGGCCCACTCGTGGGACCCCAGGTCTTGCCCTCTAGAGGGAGTCCTGGGCTTCCTGCAGGACCTTTTGGATAAGGGCAGGGCCGCTAGTACCTTGGCTGTGTCCGCTTCGGCCATTGCCTCTGGTCACGAAGGGTTCGGGGGGTTTTCAGCCCGCTCCCACCCGTTAATCAAACGCTTCCTTCGGGGGGCCTACAGGAAGAGGCCGGTCCTTAGACGAACACCTCCGATCTGGGACCTCAAGGTGGTTTTGAAAGGGCTGTCAGGGCCTCCTTTCGAACCCCTGACCCGTGCCAGCCCAGAATGCGTGGCCTTCAAGACCGCACTCTTATTGGCTCTGGTATCAACCAAGAGGGCGGGAGAACTGTGCGCTCTTTCCATCAGCCCGGCCTGCCTGTCCTTTGGTCCGGGGGATGGGTTGGTGGAGTTGTGGCCCAACCCGGCCTTTCTCCCCAAGGTCGTTTCCTCAACCTTCAGGTCCAGGGTCATACGGATCAGACCTTTTCATCCTCCGCCTCACGCCTCGCAGGAGGATGAGCAAAGACACCTGTTGTGCCCTGTCAGGATGCTGAGGCATTACCTGGAGGTCACGTCCTCTTTCAGGCGCACGGATCAGCTGTTCGTGTGCTTGGGGCCTAAAAACAGAGGCGCCCCGTTATCCTCCCAGCGGCTGGCGCACTGGGTGTCCCGGGCGATTCGCTCGGCGTATCAGGCCCAGGGGATGGTGCCCCCGGTGGGGTTCCGAGCGCACTCCACTCGGGGCGTGGCGGCCTCCACAGCTCTGCTACGAGGGGCCTCGGTGGAGGAGGTATGCCAGGCTGCGTCCTGGGCTTCGTCTTCCACCTTTGCTCTGTCTTACCTGGTGGATGTGTCAGAGCGGTCTGTTGCTCACTCCATCCTGAGCTCTGGGACTGATGCGACCGTGTCTGGCTCTCTCTGAGGCTTTCTGCGGTCTATGTTGTCTGGAGCGGCCGTCCCCTCCTGGAGCTCTTGATAGAGGCGTCCTGGGCTCAGCCTTCTCCTTCTTCCTTCGCGGCCTTGTGCAGTCCTCAGGTGCTCTTGGTAGAGGCGGTCTGGGACTGTTCCTTGTTCCCCTACGGGGGCGCGCGCGGTGTTCCTCAGGAGCTCTTGGTAGAGGCGTCCTGGGAAGTGACCTTCGCCCTTGGGCGTTTGGTCAGAGACTTGGCTGTTCCTGGAACGGCCTCCCTCTTGGATTCTGTTAGTGCTTCGGGCGTCCTTGATAGGAGCGGCCCTACCACTGCTTCACCTTTGAGCCTATCCTTGGGCGTCCTTGATAGGAGCGGCCCCATCACTGCTCATTCCCTGTCTGTCTTGAGTTCCCACACCTTGGAGGTGTTAGGGCTTACTCGGCAGGGCTCCAATCACTGCTAGCTGGCCTGATGGGAGTACATACTCTTAGGCTACGCTTCGTTACCCAAAGCGAGCCTAAGGGGCGTAGCACTATGAAGTAGAATTGTTAGTTACCTATTGTAACTGTAGTTCTACGAATAGTGCGTAGCCCCTTAGCCACGGGCCCATCAGTCCAACCTGGCTTTGGCGAGTTCAAAGTGAAGAGCATGGACTGCTGTGGGCTATTTATAGGAGGTTCTGCACAGTGATTGGAGCATTGAGTTCTCTCTGGCGGGAAGCTAGGTGCTTCTGGAGTCATACCCAAAGCGAGCCTAAGGGGCTACGCACTATTCGTAGAACTACAGTTACAATAGGTAACTAACAATTATATTAGTTATTCATTCACGGCATATATAACTTTTGTCCTGGACTCCCTTGAAAAAGAGGTTCTTAATGTCAGTGCAGGGACTTTCCTTCCATAAAAAAAATATATATATATATAAAAAATATGACCATTGACTATAGATACACACACACACACACACACACACACACATACACACACATTATGTTAAAAAAAGAAAACATACATATATATATAATGTTTTTCATCACTCAACTCAACAACTCAATATAGTTTATAATAAAATACATGGGTGAACATGTGAATGAAACCAAAGATCGTCTGACTTCAGCACCATGGACAGCTATACTGCATAGATTTTTTTATACTTAAAACAACAAAAATTCCCTTACCTGTTCCTTGTTTGGTAACGTCTGCGTCCTGGAGAACGTGTCTCCTCCGTTAATACTGATGAGTTCTCCATCTACAGGAGGAAACGCTGCGGGGAAAACCACTACGTCGCTCTTGAGCGTGTCTGAGCTGAAGCACACGTCATACTGCTGAGTGGATTTGGAGTAGGACCAGCTCCCGTCAGGGTGGGTGGTGATCATGGGGGCGCTGTACCTGCTGAAAGAGCTCTCTGTCCTGTGACATCTGACTGCTATTAACGTGATGAGGCTGAGCAGAAAGATGACTGACACCGCCACAATGGCGATGAGCAGGTACAGGTTTAAATCCGAGAAGCTGTCCTCCTTTATGGGCACATGTCTGAACTGAGTCTGAATGTCCGCTGTGCTCTCCACCACCACTACATCAATAGACACAGTGGCGGACAGGGAGGGCTCTCCGCTGTCACACACCAGCACCACCAAGGGGTGACTTTTCAGGTCATTGTCACTCATCCTCCTCTTGGTGCGGATCTCTCCGGTGCTGGTCCCGATGCGGAACAGGTGATGCCCTTTGGGCTCAGACAGGTGATAAGAAAGCAGCGCGTTGTAGCCAGAGTCTGCGTCTACAGCCCTGATCTTTGCCACAAAGTAGCCCGCTTCAGCGGAGTAGGGGATGCTCTCACTGTTAACGGAGCCGTGCTCAGAATAAGGCGCCAGGATTGTGGGACTATTGTCATTTTCATCCAGAACAAACACGTTCACAGTCACGTTACTGCTGAGCGGAGGGACACCAAAGTCTGTGGCCTGCACCTTAAACTGGAACGTTTTGATCTCCTCAAAGTTAAACGTCTGAAGTGTAGCAATGTCCCCTGTCTCTTGGTTAATGTTCAACATTGTTGCCATTTGTAAATTATTATTTATTAGTGCATAACTTACTCGACTGTTTTGATCAATATCAGCATCAGTTGCACATACCTTTTGAATAATTTCTCCGGTTTGTCTATTCTCCCTTACATATACATTAATAAAATCTTCAGTGAAAGCAGGTGCATTGTCATTGACATCTAAAATGTGAATGGACAACACACTTGTGCTGGAGAGAGCAGGTGTCCCTTTGTCTTTTGCTACAATAGTGACGTCGTAGTAAGAAACTGTTTCTCTATCAATTTGTTCCTCTACTAACAACGAGTAGTAGTTTTTATAATTCGATTCTAATTTAAAAGGGACTTCATTCTTGATTTGTATTTCAACCTCACCATTTTGGCCACCATCTTTGTCTGCGACCGACACTAGTGCGATAACGGTGCCCACAGCCGTGTCCTCCCTCACGCTCTTGTGGAGAGACGTAACCGTGACTTCAGGCGGATTGTCGTTCATGTCCTCTACTTCAACAAGCACCTTACAGTGTGCGGACATGGGCGGCTGGCCTCTATCACTGGCCTCTACGCGGATCTCAAAGGCCTTGATTTTTTCATAGTCAATATTCCCCTTCACTCTAATTATCCCGGTTTCACTTCCCATTTGAAAAAGGTCAAGAATGTGGTCTTGATCTTTATTTCTCAAAGAAAACACGATTTCACTGTTTAATCCCATATCTGCGTCTGTTGCATTGACAGCGATCACAACGGTGCCTATTGCCACATTTTCATTAATTTTGGCTTTGTACAGAGCTGAGCTGAAAACCGGAATATTGTCGTTGATATCTAAAACATTCACGGTCAGTTCGGAGGTACCGGACTTCGGCGGAGATCCTCCATCTACTGCGGTCAGAGTCATCGTAATAATGTGCTGCTTTTCTCTGTCTAGGGCTTTCTGCAAGACTAACTCTGCAGTCACCCGGTCTCCTGTTTTGTGCACCACCAAAGCAAAATACGCATTCTGGCTCAGTTTGTAATTACTGACTCCATTCCTGCCGACATCTGCGTCAGTGGCTTCAGATAGCTCAAATTTAACGCCAGACAATGTACTTTCTGCAATGTTAATCACTTGACTCTTACTCGAAAATACAGGCACGTGATCATTTACGTCTAAGACGTCTACAGTAATATGATACAGTTTTACCGGATTGGTAATTACAGCCTCAACATTCAGTGAACATTTATTTTCTTTGGCGCAGAGCTCTTCTCGGTCAATTCTCTCACTTACAAACAGCACTCCTGTTTTCAGATTTACTTCAAAAAATGTCTTTTTTGTTCCTGTTACAATTTGGAACATCCGTGACTCCAAATCCTGAGGGTTTACGTTTAAATCCTTCGCGATATTCCCAATAGCAGTTCCCGGGGGCAGCTCCTCTGACACGGAGTATGAAAGCTGCGCCGACACAGCGTTCAAACCAACATCCAGGAAGAAACAGATGACCATTCCAGCATAGCTCCTTGTCGAGGGTAAAAACATGGCTCCTACTAGAACAGTCACAAAAATCTCTACTAATAAGTAAAAATTAATTTTCTCCAGTCCATTGAGACTCAAAGCAGTTTCTGCTCTCTGTTGAACAGTGTTGAAGACTGGAGAAAACAGGAGGAGCTCTTTATGCTGAGCGGGTCTCTGCTATTCCATGGATCAACAGCGGCACCCAGTGGACAAAAGACGTCAGAGCAAGTGTGGTGGGACCAGTCTGTAATGTAGCAGTGCGTTTGATTGAATTACCTTTCACAACCACATGTACCACTATGCTTATTTAGTTAGCCATGTTTATTTCGAGCAAATAAGTGTACAATAAACAAAAGTAGGATATAATTTTTTTTTTTTTTAAATAACCTTGAATTACATTATATTATATACACAATATAATATTTACAATTACGAATTATGTTGATTTATGTTGAATTATGTTGATTTAATTATATTGTTTTTCATTTTATATTTTTAAATATACCAATATAGTACATAGATGTGCAAAAAAGGTTGATGAGGATTTGACATGTGTTCCACCTGGACCTCTGAAGTCAAACTTCATATGAATGAAATAGAACAATATAAAATCCAACAGGTATAATCCAGTCTTAAGAGAGTCCCAGAACACCAGCTACAGTGTACCCTATTTATATTTACCAAAACAATAGGCTACCTTGGAGTTTAATATTTCTCTGTACAGAGATTGTTGCCACTTGATTTATAAATATTTATTTCAGCCATTAGAGAAAATGTCTTAGCGGTATTTGTTCCCAGTACAGCAAGAAATGCTCAAGCCGAGCCTTATAAGCCTATGTGTTTCTAAGTTATATTAGAGTATCTTTATTTTTTATGATTTCTTTATTTATTTTCACCTTACATTTTGTGTACTGTATATCTGTGTGATTTGTGAAAAAATGAGTATATTTGGAGTGAAGGTTCAGACCTGTATTAGTAATAACATTGTATTAAATAAGGTCATATTATTGTGACAGTCAATGTTCTTTCACATCTCTCATGCTGCAGATAAAGAGTTTAATTTTTGTGCAGTTCTACTTGTATCGGTGTATTGTGTTGTATTTTTTATTTCTAATTTTTATATTGTAACCTGCTGCGGCCTGACTTACTGTGTGTTTGTGTAGAGGCTGTGTGCTCTGCTCTGAAATTCTGTTTCAAATTAATTGCCCTTTGGAATCAACAAAGTTTTCTAAGTCTAAATCTTGTTGTGCCCTTTCTTTTATTTTTTTAAAGATACATCCCTCACCACCTTAGATCAATTTTGTCTATAATATACAACTTTGTGGATATACACACACACACGTTTATCATTTTATCATTTATTTGCAAGCCACAAATCTCGCTCCCACTTCCCATGTAATCCTCGGATTAAGCCCTGGATTCAAAGCCCCCTCTCCTGCAGCTGGAAGCCTGATTTGATTTTCAAATATGAATAACCGCCACTGCATCATCAGCGACCCCAACACTCCATAACAGTAATAATAACAGCTCACAAAACAAATCAGTGTGTTCAATTATTTTAATGTAGTGGAAACAATGGCACTGAGCTTGCACAAAGCTCTCCTTGGCTTATATACAACACACGGTTTATTTCACCGTTCCATACTTTATTTAAAAGGTCATTTTTGCATTGTATTCTTAAATAAATCAACTGCACATCACGGCTACAATGAAGTTGACACAGAAAACACACTAAAATGAGACATAATGTAGGGTTATGCTCTGCCACTTGCTGATAGCATCACATTATATATTTTTTTCAATAAGGGATAGTTTAGTGTTTTAAATCAAATTGTACATAAAAGTGTCTATTTAAGAGTGTTACCTGAATGATATTTTACAACATGCTCCTTTAAAGGCACACAGGAGTAATGATAACAGGGAATACACTTTACAGGGTTGATAAAAGAGAAGCATTTTTACAACACTCTTTTGCTCGGCCAAACTCGACTCCAAGACATGGCACAACACGCGACACCTACAAAGCTTTACAAAGCCCCATAAAATCTGTGGCTTGTTCAATATCAAATAAAAGTATAAAATCAGTCCAAGTGTCCAAAAGCAAGATATACATTAACTGCTTTAGTTGAAAAATAACATTGAGCATGCAAGAAATGTCTACATTCAGCTATTTAACATACTGCTCGATATCACAATGTATCACTCAGACCTTATTCTGTGATAAATCTTGACATAATGCACCAAAAATATTGTATAAAAGTAGTTTAGTCCCTGTTATCGTTGCTCTCTGTGTGAAGGTAATACTCATAGACATAGAGTGTTTGCCAATTGGAACATAAGCTAGCCGGAGTCAATTTCTTTATATGGGCATTTGTTCCGACGGGGTTAACGTCGTGCCGCAACAAAGGCAGACGTGTCGCTAAGGTGGTTGCTAAGGCAGGCTGGAGTTTCCCCCATAAATGAAGGCATCTGATTGGTCAATCATTACGACTCATAACTGGATATACAAAGACAATATCAAAATAAAAAAACCAGGTTTATAGACAGCACTAAACCACGGATTGTTTTAGATAAACAATGGTTACTGAGCTTGAGGAGTTTACTTTTCAATGTAAACTCCTTGGAGCAAAACTTTGTTCATGAGCACTTCCCTATTGGGCTTTATTGCGCAAGCGGGGTAGCATTGTCCATATATATATATATATATACAGCCTGTGGTTATACTTTAAAACACTGAACTATCCCCTTAGCAGAAAGCAAACATTGTTTTCAAAGATCTTTTGTATTAATTATTTTACAAATTACAATTAATACTGTCGCCAACATGCATTTTGTGGATATTTACAGAAATA